TTAAAGGTAATCTATCGGTTAAATATTCTATAGCCTTAGAAAGCCTCTTTCATCTTCTCGGTCTCCATATCTTTATTAAATTCTTAAAGGAAACTTAAGTATTGAAAAATGAAAAAAGCAAATGCCAGAAAAAAATTTATTTCGATATTTTAACTCAAATAAAAATAGTTTCAATCCGTGCAGACTGGTGTTGCAGGATGATGGTACAATAGCGCAAAATACTTCGGTTCTTCTAATCACTGATTCTCTAAATCAAAGATGCATGAAATACACAATTAAGTTGCTGTTCATATCAGCTCTGTGACCAGAATTCAGCGAGGCGTGAAATGATTTTGAGTCATTGAAAGGATTAAAAATGTTAAGCACGAAACTTAGCTACAACCTTTAATTTTCAACTTTAATTTTCAAATCAGGCTAAATTATTTTTTTCATTTTAATGGCTTTGTGAATTTGCAAAGTCAGAGAATGGAGAAATTTCTCAAATACGTTTTTTGTTGTGAAGTATTTAATCCATTTGCCAAAATGATTTAACGCTTTGCTGAATCAAATCCCGGCTACCTGGCTAATGTGAACAGTCCCTAATATTACGAATAACGATTTTATTATTTATGACTTGCCTTAATTGTTTCTCTTTTAATTCTGTTTTACGAAATATTGCGGAATATGGCAACAAAAATATTAATTTTAGATACTAAAAGTGGGTTTTAATAGATTGTTTTTCTCTTGGCTTTTTGTTAAGTTTTTAGTATTATTCCATTTACTATTCGAAAATTGAACTTACGGTGGCTCACAAGGGCCACCACACAAAATAAAAATATTAATACACACACAAAGTAAAAATACACACAAAATAAAAATACACACACAAAATACATTATACACACACAAAATAAAAATACACACACAAAATAAAAATACACACACAAAATAAAAATACACACACAAAATATGATTGCGGGCGCTTGCATTCTCTGATGGTCTGACTATCATATTATCAGTTTGTAATCAGATATGTGTAATTCACTAATTGTGATTTTAACATGTGGTCGACTTGTCGTCGTATTTAACTGTTTCAACTGCGAAACATTTGAAATTACATTTGGAAAGGAATCGAAAGCAAGCTCTTGCATAATCCTGGCATAATTATGTTTTGTGCCAACTGTGGTGCACAATCATGACGAAGTGAATTTGTTGCCAAAATGTTCTGAAGCGTCAATGACGAAGTTGCTCTGCAAGTCCGTTAACTTCAACAAAAGCTGTTTATAACTGGTCGAGCAATAATGTCCTTTCAGGTACGAGCAATATCGTAAGCAACTTTGAAATAATTGATCACAGTGAAATCAGTGAATTTTGTTATGTACTCTGGAAGTTGGAACCATTAGAACTTTGAAAACAAAAGCGATCAATTACGAGCAATTCCGAGGAAGCCGACACTGCAAGCGCCCGCAATCATATTTTGTGTGTGTATTTTTATTTTGTGTGTATTTTTATTTTGTGTATTTTTATTTTGTGTGTGTATTTTTATTTTGTGTGTGTATTTTTATTTTGTGTGTGTATAATGTATTTTGTGTGTGTATTTTTATTTTGTGTGTGTATTAATATTTTTATTTTGTGTGGTGGCCCTTGTGAGCCACCGTATGAACTAAACAAAATACTCATACCAAATAGCAAGATTCTCAAAATGTTACCGCTCAAAAAAAATCTAGATCATCCCATTCAATAACAGGTTTGTTTACACCAGCATTACAGCTTTTGTTGAACCACAACATTTCACACGACGTGTCACGTCTTGTTGCTATAAATTTAAAAAAATTATTTCACCAAAAAATGACATTTTGGGATCAAAAATTGCTTTCTCGCATTCCAGTTTTCGACCAATAGCAACAACGCTTTCACCACGTGATAGTCACATGAAAAACATGCGAGTTCCCGAAGGTGCGAGTTCAAATCTCGTCCAAGTCACATGTTTTTCATGTGCATATAAAAAACCGTTTTAGGATTAATATATTATATATACCACGTGATAGTGGTAGTGAATGATTGCCCAAGAGCATAAATCACAATTTTACCATTAACGAAAGCTTTTTTTCTCGTTTGACTGACTATGATGACAAAGTGATGCCAATGACGATCTTTTTTACTGCAGAAATATCAAGGTTTCTATGGATCGATAATTACTAGACTAACTAGGCCACAATATCGTCTATATCGACGAAAATTAGAACGAAAACTGCCGCCGAAATCTTGAACGAAAACTCAACGAAAATTTCGTTTTCGTGCATACACAAAGATGGCGGGGTGGCCAGTGGCATAAGTTTTTATAAATCTGATGCGAGAAAAAGAATTTGTCGTTATTCGCAAGTATTTTATAAGTCTGTTTTTTTGTTCGGTTTTTGTATTTCTTTAATCAAATTGTTAAATAAACCCAGTTGATCGCGTCGTTTATTATTTGTGTATAATACAATGTATATAATACAATCTTTAATATTATCTCCTGAAGAGTGAGAAATCACGAAACAGGCTTGTCGGGATGAAATTGTAGTTTTTGTGTATTTTCTTCTTCTCACCAATATTTACGCTCTGCTCTTAAGCATCGAGGACTGTACTTACGGAGATTCAAATAAACAAACTTCCTAATACAATCTCATGTATATAATATAATCGACTGGTAATAGGTCTAATTTGGCACTTTTCGCATTGCTTATACATCGCTCGATTTACTAATCCAGACTTAGAGTAGTTTAATCAAACGCCGAAAGCAAATGAATTAATTTTGCTTTCGAATATTGTGCGAAATACAAGTATTATTTGTGTGGTTTACAATTTTACATCTAGTGAAATATGATACGTGTCAAACTATAAAATCCATAAACAGGAAATACAAAATACTTTCGATCACTTGTAATCACTGAGCAAAGCGTTTACTATCAAACATTGTTTGAAATAAACACAAAATCTTTGGAAATATATACACTTTTCAAAACGTGATTAGAAAAAAGTAAATAAAAAACACGACCCGTTGGCGCAAAACACAATTAATTCCCAGTATAATTATGTTGCATAACATGTCATAAACACGTCGTGTTTACCGTATTTGTTCGAACAAACGCCGCCCCCGAGCTAGCGCTTCCCTCCAATAAACACCGCATGTGTGGTGAAAAAATTAAATTAGCACCGCTGCACTTGCTCAAACAAATACGGTATTCATGGTTAGGAGGAATAACGTTTTCTGAACAAGATCTAAGAAACGTCAGAAAAAGTTTTTAAAACTCAACTGTAGAAAAAATGGTTTTCAGTGAGAAAAACCTTTAAAGGTCGCAAGAAATCTAAATGACGTTACTTACTTTCCTTGATGCGATTCTTGTGAGCACATGCATTTATGGGATGTGCAATCTGAGCTAAAACGTTCAAAAAATGCAGAAATGGCTAAACATTTACTTAGTCAAAAAACTAAAATTAATTGTAAAATATTGAACGAGTTTGGTGTAAATGGTATTAAATATAGAATTTTATTTGAATTATGTTCATTTATCTACTTCATTAGCCCTATTTACTTGATAGGCTACCCACGTGTACACCCTGCGTACCTATTTTTTGTTTTGCTTGCTCTTCTTTGAGTACATTTTGCCAGAAGACACTTTTCTCTTTTTCTCTTGTTTTACTGCAAAAGATACTACAGAAACACATCCAGCAATAATGCCGTTTACGTATTAGCCGATCTTTGCAAACATGCTTGTGATTTTTCGTCGTGTCTGGCATGTATTTCGTGCACGAATTTTCGTTTAGTTTTCGTTTTCGTGAATATAGACGAGTGTGGCCTAGGAAGACACATCATTAATAAACTGAAAATATCATTTTGCATTGAACACAAATGCATAATTAACTATGAATAAATAATCTTGGAAATGGATAACCGAATCTGGAACTAGTTATTTTAATAGAACAAATAATAGAGCTTAAACTAGTGATTTAATAGAACAATAAATAGAGCTTTTTCTTACAAGATTTCAATCGATTTTAAGGTTTCCATTTATGTTTACAATTTGGAAAATAAACAAGTAAAAAAAAAAGGATCACAGCGCCTTTGTAATCTGACGTCCACCATTCTTGCAACAAGTAACTTATTTCCTTTTGTGTTCGCAATGGTTGCAACAAGAAAATACACTTTGTCTACAATTTACAGTCGAGTAGGAAAATTACTTGAAGACTGCCCACGGTGGTTTAGTACTTCAATATGCGCCTATTCTCTTGCAGTCGCTAAAAAGTGTCAAAGTTTGAAAAAATTATTCTTTGGGGAAGGGTACAGTCTAAAGAAACCAACATCACTAAGATAATAAGCTATAAAGGTGCCAAAGGAGTGAAGAAAAGCCATGCTAACGGTGCAAATCACGTGTACGTAATTCTCAAGCACCTAATTACTTGCTATTTAATTGCTCCTTCAGCAGTTTCTTCACCCTAACCCTACCCTAACCTAACCCTAACCACTAAACCATCTCTAGTCAAATTAACCAAGTCAAATATATTACAGTGTTTCGTAGATGTAATTTTGTTTCTCACTGCCATATATGAAATTTAACATGTGGTGTATTTACATGTGAGTTATGAATCACATAAGCCATGGGCACTGTATTAGTGATTTGTGACACGCATAGATTAACAGCACAGATCCACATAGTAGTAAGATACATCAAATATGGTTGTTTACGTTGCCTGTAGCAAAAGTCGATGACAATGAAAGGCTTATGAGTAGGATGCGATCTACTCAGATCAACATATCCATTTTTTGCTCCATTTAGAGACCAAATTATTTGTTAAAATTTTTTGTGCTATTTGCTAGTGTAACTCAAGAGTAACACAGCCATTATGCTCCTTCAACTAATGTCAATAACATATAACAAATTTAATAAAATTCTGTACAACTACCAACGTCTTCACCAAATCAAATGAGCCATCTTTCACAATTGGATTATCTGCCCCAAAACAAAACGTTACCTCTTACAAAAAATGTGTGCAATGTTTCTATTTTACTATTGAATTGTATAAATACAAATATTAAATTTTGAGCTGGTGCACTCTTTCAAAAAGATAATCAGTTTCATAGACTACCATTTGTCGAACGGTGCACCAACATCATTAAATAACTCATCTGGCAGGGGATTTCCCCACGCAAACAAGAAAATCGAATTAGTGAGAGGGCCAGCCAGTCAGGCTCTAATATATATAGTATAAGGAACGAAACGGCAAGTGCAAATCTGCCATTTCATAATAGCAAATATTTGTTATCGTTAGGTATTCATAGGTTTCTTTTCCAGTTTCTCGAAATGTTTTCTCGCGTTTTGGATGTTAATCAGAGTGGCAGCGGATGCTACAATGAAAAACAAATAGAACAATATATACTTATTTCATTTAAAAAAATGATGAAGAACACTGAAACTATTATGTATTTTTTATCGTAAAACAAATTAAAGACGGATAGTAACATAATACAAGAGCCAAGCTCTTTATCACTAAATTTCAGAAATTATCAACTCATAAATAAACATATGACAGAATGTTATATGCAGTGCGGTATTTGAGATTAAATGAAGATATGATCTTCGCACTTTGCTGGACAATTTAAGCAATTGTCTCATGAACCTGAAAAATTCAGGTGACTCAACGGGATTCGAACCCATGACCTCTGCGATTAAGCATCGAAGACTTTCGAATCCCGTTGAGTCACCTGAATTTTTCTGGTTCATGAGGCAATTGCTTAAATTGTCCAGCAAAGTGCGAAGATCATATCTTCATTTAATCATAAATAAACACTTACAAATGCTGGAGTCGGACATGATAACCATGACGTAAGTATTCGCCGTGAACACGTCGATAAATGCAGCAAAACTTGAATTTCGTACTTCCATGCTTTGAAAATGAGCATGCAGTTTGCTGAAACAAAATAAAACAGTCCTGATGATTCAATCATAATTTTTGCTACTTAATAATATAACTATGAATATTTGTCCACTGTGATTGGTTGACAGCAGAGCAAAATAAGTGGAAATCATTAGTTTATTTACCAATAAACTAATTAATCTAATTGTGTCAATGAGTAACCATGTATTTACATAAATTTAGCACAAATCACACAAATATACAAAGCAATTGTCTAGAAATTTGTCTTTTCCATGAAAATGTCAGTTTAATTTTTTCTTCGCCACCAATATTTCGGCGTATAGCTTGACAAAAAACCCATTCATACGACATCTATGTGAATTTTAAATACTTTAACGGCTTAGCTATTTGGTTGTCAAACAAAGCCGATTTGAGCTTTAATTTAAAGGAAAAAAACCTACATTGAAAAACAGATGGAAAAGCACACTTAACGAAAATACCATTCATACAACGATACGTTCCTTCATTCATAGCACCATACAAACGGTGGGCACAAACTAAGCACTAAGTGCAAATTCATATTTCAAAATAGGTAGTAAAATCAAACGGAAAAGGTTTTTTACATGCGTAAGAGTACGTATGCTTTAAAACACCAGTACGGATCCAAGGATAGTGCAAAGTTTCAAAAGACAAATGTAGTTCAACATTCCAAACACAAATCGTTGCGATGACTTATGTCTAGCCATGCCGTTTAAAAGATTGCAAAACTGAAATAAATTTTCAAAAGTGTTGGACTGAAATAATTTTAGAAGAGCATGCTCCAGACTGAACAGTCTGCTTATGGCACAATTCTTCGTACCAGTAATTTTAATTGCAATTACAAATTGTACACGTTTCTTTGAAGTCTTTATTTCCCTATAAAGTCTTTATAAAAAAGTTTGATGTGTGACGTGGTACTCAGCAATAAAGAAGTAAAAATATTTGAGAATTTTTGACATTCTAATGAATTTGTTTCGGGTTGAGTATGATGCAGAATCGTTCTCACCCTTTTCATATGACAGTAGAGGTTAAAAGCTCACAGTTAATACATATGGTTGTAAAATTTTCTCGACATTCTCGACATTATTCTACATTGCGACTTAAAAATCTTCAGAAGGTGTCATCACATTGAAAAAAAATACCGTTTTAACTGCAGCGAAAATGTTTTGTATTTTTCAATGGCTTTTGTCAGTGCATACTAAGCATACACAGGCACTCAATGTTTAGTGCCATTATTACCTATAGCGCAATAAGGGCGCATGCGCATGTAGACAATTTCTTTTGAAGAATAGAGCTGCTGGGGGTAAAACGGAGGGTGCAACGTTAACGTGTTAACTTGATCTTGAGGTATTGAAAAAATCGTTTGTTTATCTTGCTAACAGTCAAATAAATGTCTTAGTTGATGTGACTTAATGTGAATGAGAATTTGTTTCTTCATAATCTGTAAAGCATTAGTAAGACATCACTAAATAACTCACAAACGTAAAATGAACGTTGTTGTAGACACCCCCACCCCCCGTAAAGTTTACACCATGGATGACTCGTTTGAATTTTTGCCACTTATCCCAATAATCCAAAGTTTCCATGGAAACTTTGCACCAAAAACAAATGAAAGTCGCAGAAGAACAGACTCTAAATGTTAGTTTGAACGTTCAGACGCAGCATGCATTCCTTCCAGATGAATAATTTCGTACAGCCACGCACGCTCGATCGTCGGCTGGTAAAATTCAAATAACACATACATACCTACAACTCAATTTGAATTGTTTAATGATATTACTGATTTTCTCGAAGCGGTGCACATCTTTATGTTCTTTCCTCTGACAGTGCGATATAACCTATACAACAGTCGAGATGAGGTATAGAAAAACTGAAAAACAACTTAGTTTTTTAGAGAATACGTCGGTCAGCAGTCAGTTGGTAATTTTTCTGTGCACTATGTATTTTTTATTTGATTTTCAAATGCTTGGTGGGTTGGCTGTTTTGCTTGAGTGTATAAGTAAGCGAAACACAATTGTTTTGCCAATGCTAACGTCAAAACGACGATAATTTACCCGATGTCATTATCCCCGCTAACCGGGATAAAATGTCTACATGGCTAATTTCTCGTCTGGGTCAAGCGATATCCCGGCAGCAAAGACCGAGATCTCGTCAAGGCGGTATAAGTGGCGGGATCATACAAACACTGATTAGAATTAACATTACGCGCAGGATCTGGATAAGCATCCCGTCCCATTTGCCCGAGATTATGTAAACAGGCCCTAAGTTCGATTCACTTTTTTGAAACACACCGTACTAATACAATATGTCTATATTGACGTATTAATCTGTGATTAACAGGTTGCTTTTATTTTGATATTACGTGTCGTGGAATTATATTTCACGATCATCTTTTACTTTTCCAGTGAACGTGGTATGAGTGGTATCCACTTGCTGCAAACTTGTGACATAACAAGAAAATCAGACCATTTTTAGACTTAGTATATACATGTGGTTGCCTGGGTATTTAAAAAGTGCGAAAACTTCAAAGCAAATCTTATAAATTCAGGCTCAGAGATCACTTTAGATAAACACAAATTTTGGGTTCTATATGCAGTCTGATTGGCTCAAGAACAAAAATCCAAAGAAAGCCCTGATTGACACAAAAGAAAAAGTCTTTCAACTGAAAAAATTAAATCGGTTAAATATATATTATCAAGTAAGAGATTCTAATATGTTAAAACACAAGGACCCACAAGATTGGAAGAAGACCAAAAAACTCATACTGCAATAGAATGATGAAATTTAAACTTCAGACGTGATTAACATTTCACATATCATGTTAATTTAAACATGAGTGAATAGCTATAAACACCCTGGTTACATGCTGCTTTGCAATTTATTTCTGAAGTATGATAATTAAGTATGATAATGTACGCATTTGCGACAGTTATCAACTCCAGTCTCCATGCGAGTATTTTAATTTTTCTTTTTCGCGTGACCTGATTTGCCGAGTTATCTTTATCTCTTCTATACTTAGTTGTTTTATAATCGTTTCGATTTAGTTTGGTTTCGTTCATTATTATTTCGCTCATATTCTATGAGATATAAACAATTCAATAAGTGAATCAACAGTGTTTAATGTGATTATATAGTAGGTATTAAACTAAATGAATAACATGAAATACTTACTAAAAACGTCGCACGTTCAAACAAAAGAACTTCGTCGCCATCGATGATGTCGGCAAATTTACTTAAATTATCTTCAAGCTCACTAACGTTTGGAATAAGTTGGTAAACAATGGACGACCACGCCTAAAATATTAAAGATAAAATAAACTTAAGTGATTAGTAAATAATTTTGCTTAATTTTGATACACTTTTAATTTCATACAATAAAAGTTTATGTTTGTTAAATATGTAAGAGGATGCAAAGTGTTGCATATTTGACGAAATTTTGCACGAGTTCAGTACTTCAAATTGCCAGAACGATTAACCGGGCCTTTCCAACACATCCTAACAGCTTAAAATACGTACAAAACTTCCCGAATGAACTTCAATTGGCAGTATATAAATACAAAATTATTGCACGTGAGCTTTTTGAATGAAATGAAAGTGATCAAATGAATCTTGTAAATACAAATTCATAATTCTACGAGCATGTACACTTTTTCTAAGAGCATGTAACTACGAATAACCAAAGATATTTGATGCAAGAACGGATATTTTTGGGATAGAAAGGGGTTACAGGGGATGCCACCCGAGTACTAGATTATACCTTCCTACTCAAATTGTTCATCCCTCTAAGAAACATTTTTACACCCCCAGCTACTCCACTCTTTTCTTGGCATTGTTTCATCTCTCCCCACACTACCTTCGGTGGCTGCACTTCCCGACTACCCTTAAAATCCTTTCTCCCCTACTTGCTTTTACGTCACATCTTTACCCACTCACACCCCTCTAAAACTTTTAGCACCACACCTGTCAAACATACGAAAATCCGTCCATAGTTTCATGTTAATATTTAATTATTGCATAATTACCTCGCTATTTCAGATTTTTTAACTTCCATCGCGTAAAACATTAAATAGCAAGATGCAAACTTACGTTAGTACGTAAAGTTAATGTACGTGTGTAGAGCGTACCTTGTAGAGCGTCTCATCCCAAATTGACGTCCTAAAACAAGTACATTCCAAAGGCTTTGATAAACGTTCCAAGTCACTCTGTCTCTCGGTAAATATCTAACAAAATAACATTTATAATACTTTGAAAAACTATGAACGAACCAAATTTTCTCATGTTACAATAAACAAAAACCGCTAGGTGAAGCTACCCCTGCCGATATATATATGCTGCTTCCCGCCAAAATTTAAGGCAGTCTTTCATTTTGCACGCGCGGCCCCAAAAAGTCCAAATTACGACAGTATGAGATAAAATACGTGTCTTTATCCACTTGCGTGGTAGGGGGTAAGATTTGGCTTCGAAATTCCTTGGAAACACTCGCACTCGTGACAGTGCATACCACACAATTTCTCGTTTCTCTCAAGTCTTCCTGCGTGTCTCTATAACTCAATAGAAATGCAGTTTTCTACTTTTTAATTAGCAAGTCATCAACTGTTTGTTATTAAAATGTAAATTATGTATGTCTCTGCTGTTCCGTTCAGCTCATCTAAAGAAACCCTCTCGTCACACATTACATGAAGTATACGATGATGTCGTATAAACTTGTAAAGACCGATTACCATAATACTGATCTATGCTATAGTGAAATAGAAATAATGATTTATGTATACTCCAAGTGTCTAATAACACGTTTTCTCTTCGAGAAATTCTCAAAATACCGAAGGAGAAACCATTTAAAGTTCAAAAACGATAAAATATTCACTTCATCTCTTTGTTCATCCGGAACCAAGTCCATCTTATGAATAAGACAAAATATTTTCGCCTTCGGAGAATTAAGGAGGATTGCTTCCAAACACGATTGATAGTAGTGCATGTCCTTATCGAGTTCTCGGCTTTCGACATCGAAGACATAAATGAGCACTTGAACATTCTGAAATATACTGTCTCTTTGACTGGCAAAGTAATTCTCCATAAAGGCTTCCTGACTAAAAAAGTTTAAAAAAGAATATTTATTGAAATCACGACAAATATCATATCATTGTGGCTTTTACAAAAACCAATTTCAGGTCTTTTAGATAACACCGTTCATATAACACAATTGGCGAACGCTAACGTTCATGACTCTTCACTGCACGTACTCTGTAAGCAATCTAATAAACGCTAATAAACGCCGGGAGCGTTTAATAAATTCTGGCGAGTATAGGAAGGGTTGTAAAATGCATAAGAAGCGTTTATAAGAGAGGTGTTTATATCATCACCTTACAATGCGTCAACAAAAAAACAAATTGAACACCAAATATATCTTTCTATGCCCAATAGACGCCTCCCACCCAAAAGATATTTACAAAAAAGTATTGTGGCGGCTGTTGGAGACAGGGCGTTTAAAATTGGATCATTTAGCTACGGTATTTTCACAATCAAACGGATGAAAAATCTTGACAATGAGTAGGAACTGCATTTCGCTGGCAAAAATTAATTGTAGAGCAGAACAAAAATTGAGGTAGTTTGTTAGTGCTTAGTTGTCAAATCCACTCCGCAATAGTTGTTCATCTCTTCTTATAAACGACTTTTAAAATGGCACAGAAACTAGTCCACATAGATCCAACGAATAATGTCTCCTTTACACTTATCTTCTATCCTTCATAATAAACACTACGTTTTAAATTTTAATACACCATGATACAAAGCGTTGAAATGACGTTATAACAAAGAAACTCAATGTTGCCCGCTAGGACTGAGGTAAATATACAGTATGCCAACGTAGACACCAAACAAAATCGAAATGGAGCGTGCTCCATTACGTGAATGCTACTTTTAAACTTACCCACCACAATCCCACAAATTTAACACCAAATTTCCAAGAAATCTCACATGAGAATGCTCAACATCGACTATTAAATGTAAATGCATATATATGGGTGGATGAATAGAAAATACAATGTGGATAAAAAGGATACAATTTTGAAATTGCTCAAATTAAAAATTAAAAATTTGAAAGCTTTGATGACCATTTCAAGGTACCAAACTCGTACCCTTCTTTATACAATCCTGTATTTATGACCAGCTTCATTATGACGCACTACTTTTGATATTTGATAATGATAGGTGGTAAAAAATACATTCAGCTACAATATCAGAATCATGCAAGCCTAAGCATTTTTCAATAAGCATGTCTGCACCTATCATAAAATATGTAAATTTTACAAAAATTGCAATCAAAACAGCTACACTCTCTAAGCAATTCAAAAGCATGAAATTGTCACAATTCGCTAAGATAAAATAGCTTTCACTGATGCTGATCAACACTGTCAAACAAGTGTAGTTAAAAAAAACTTCACATTTCAGTGAAATTTTTTCACTGAAAAAATTTGCCTTTGTGCAAACTGAACTTTCCAAGTGGAAAAGTGTAAAATTGCCTAAGTGCAATGGCTATATATTACAGCTACAACTGTATAATGTTACAAAATGCATGCTGCCAAACTTACTTGTAGCTCCCAAACGACGGGTATCACGAGCTATATAGTTTGCAAAAATAATGGACCTCATACTGGTCTTTCCTGAGCCACTTTTACCCATAAGAAGCACCTAAAATTAGAATACAAGTAGTTTACAAGTTTGAAGCATAGATTTTTCAAATCAACTATGCAAAAATCTTCTTTGCTAAATATATTTTACACAACAAACCTATAAAAAACAGCAATACAATCAAAAATGAAGAAGTTGTAGCAATATTTATCCTAAACACCCCATCCGTAGTGTACTTGTGGATGGGGTGAAGGGAAAGGTGCAGAGTGCTGTACACCTAACTTAGCAATAGCTACACAGAAAGGAGGAGAATTGTCAATATAGAATATTAATAAAGCAAACAACGAAACAAAAGCAATTGCAATTAGAGTTCAATGTAGTACACACCCAAAAATTGTGTAATCGTAACAAAAAGAAGTCAAAATTCAACGAAAAAGTCTGACATGGTACAGCAGCAGTAGCCATTCAGACTGCAGAGCACATCTGTTTTTGCTGAGATCTAAAGGCAAAAGGCTGGAAAATATAAACCAAGGGGTGCACTCAGCGGCAAAAATGGAAACATAAATCTTAATTTGTGTTACAATTTTTTTTGGTTTTCAGCTAAACAACTAATGGGCACTTAAACTTGTTCACAACATACGTAAGATATAAACTGGAATACAATGAAATCCACACACCACCAACTATCCTTATCATATGATAGCATACTTTGAATTAGCATAGTTGAGGTGATTGCATTAAGTAAGGCATTTGGCAAGATGAGTAGAAAAATGAATGAAAAGATAAGACGGTGAATTTGGACCTTCGATCTCATTAACATTTCAGCATTGCCAGGTGGACAACTCGCTTCGTGTAATTCTGGCTTCAGCAGTTTAACAATTGCCAATGCAAGTGTGACAGATTGAAATATGCAATTATAAGCTGTGAAGTTTGCACTGAGCATCATTAAATCCGTCATACTATAATAAAACATTGCCTTTAACTATGACAAAGAATCAAATCTCGAAAAATTCTTGCTCGAAGCGTATTCAACAATGTGGGACATTTTCCTTCGCTACATAATGATCCAAATGAGCAATAAATTTTAGCCAGCCAAGGGAAGAACTATCGTATTTTAACAAAATAAATTTCTAACGTATTGTATGGAACATAGGCTGGAAACAAGAGTCCACATATTTACAACGAACACAATATCCCGAACAAGAAAACATGACCTTTCCCGTGTGCGCTAAGCATAAGACATAAATATGACAAAATTTCTCGCCAAAGATAGGTATACCTTTTTCTTGTTCATCTTGACTCCCAATAGTTCAACTACAGTACTTCAATAGTAATTCAACTACAATACATGTAAATATATTTCCGTTGAAGAAACTATCACAACGGTTTGAATATTGAAAAATAGTAGATCGGCTTGACAAAAGATAATATCCTCACATTCTGTCATTGCTGTCCTATCATGTGATTGTTTGATGGTGTCACTGAACTGTATCACACTGTATGGGGGTCAGAAACAGAGTATCAAATATCGGTCTCGTTTTTGACACACGGAGGAGTGCAGTGATGTCGCTGGGTTGCTCAAACTGGGGAAGGGGGTTGGGTTTAAGGCTGAACTCATGTTTGCCTCAAATGCGTTTAGTTCTTACATTTAATGAAACAGTCCAACAACATGACAAATAACTACAACAACTACAAGTAAGCACTCAGTACATATGACATAGAACTACAACTATTTACATTAAAGACGTCACACTATAATTAGTTAATAATAATCCATCATGAGATTGAATTCCCATTGTTCTCGACATCGTAACACTGTTTACGATAAATTCCTTATTTCATTTTATAAAATAAAAGCAATTAATAGCGTGCGCTGATAGGTCAAAGCCGTGTTTGGACAAGTCTGTGCAAACCAATTTGAGCTCAATCAATTAAATCAATCGATCAATTAAAGAGACTTGGCAATCGATCATGAATACATGTTGATGAAAAAATCAAAACGTTTGCTTTAAATTTTCCAGTTTTGCATTATTATTCATTATTTAAAAAATAAATAAATAATGTGTTTCTTGTCTGCACTGGCTTATGAAAAGCTCGGAGATGTTTGTGGGAACTCTCAAGCAGGTGCAACCATCGACCTTCGGTTTCGGACATTCACTGATCAGCTCACGAGCTCTCCCGAATGTCTCCTGGGTATGTTAGATGTTTTTATTTTATTTGAAATTTATTATCTTTAGTGATTTTCCTTATATTCACGCCCATCATTGAAAGCAGTTGCGCGACTGCCGATGTAAGCCTTTTAAAACAAATTTCTATATCAATCAATATCACGTAGAAAGTGCATTATCTGTTGTCCCATTTTTCAAAACAGGGGTATCTTCGCTCTTATCGTCAATTGATATTAGTAAATTTGCTCTTAGTCCGTTTTATAAACCTTCAGTTTTGTGGCAGAGAAAGTTTCACCGAACCATAATGAAACTCTTACCATACGGTTAGGTATTCACACCTAAACGATATAGTTTTGTACCGTTTTCAAACTGCTACGCATTTCAAACTATTACGGCTAGTGTTACGGTCTTATACTTTTTCATACCGGCGTCGTGTGAACATTACCCCAAAGCCTATATCAGAATGCACCAAGAGATATTTTAAGGATTTCACACTTGAAGGCCATTAACCTCAAGTCCTGTGAGGGTAAACTATGGGGCAGAGAATCCCGAAATACCAATCCTTAGTAAAATTTTACAAAATTACAAATACGTTTTGTACAGCAATTTAATAACAGCGTAAAGGACATGTTATGAAACAAACATTCTTATTCAAGTGAGCAATATATATTATCTGCAATGAACTTTTTGAAATACCATGCAACTACAAAAAATGTCAAAAAGGCTCAAGAAGTGAGGGGGCAAATTTGTTTCATTGTGGTGATAACAGGAGAGACTTGCATGGAGGTCAAATGCCGGGTAAACATGCCTTTGAAAGCGTTAAATCCCAAAATACATACGATTTCCCGACATATAAAACTTCTAAAAGGCTATTGGCTAGATATTGTGATTCTTATAGGTTTTCATCGAATAATGTTTCGTTCTCTAACGTTAACGTGATTTACAGTTTCCATAAGAAGTTTATTGAATAGGTGTATACTAATTATAAGATATATATAAGGCGTTTACTCCAGGATTTCTTAATCATAATAATTCTGGTAATATTTATCAGCTTATAATAATGATAAACCTCTTCTAAACGAGATATTCATGCACTAATGTCTTTTCATCTTAATCCAAGTCTAGGCAGTTCATTTTTTGCTGGCAACCTTTCCGGTTACTCATGTATAAGCAATCTTCTCTTGTGTTCTCTGTTATAACTTTTTGCCCATGATGCAATCATGTGATCTCAGTTCGTTAAGAAGGATCTTGTTAAGTCGGGCTATATCCCTCTTTTCATATGAATGCAATTTTAAAAATATCGTGAACATAAATTATCGTAATACATAAAGCAAGATACATGCAAAGCAAGCAAGCGCATCCAAACCAAAGGACAATAATTTTTTTTAGGGAAACGTGTATGAACCCTCACATTCAGTAATTTCCAAAGTAATTTACGCTTGTTTCGATTGATGGCTGACTCCATTTGTGATAGTACTATTTCTTACTTCATCGTTATTCTTACTCATAAACTTAAAATGTCATAACTGAAAACTTTGGTTTGAGAGAAAACGTTCATTTAAGCGTTGAGGCGAATTGCAGATCCTGGTTATCTATCTGAAATTACGTAACTATTTAAAAATTGTTTAACAGGGTGATTTTTGTAGTTAATTATTAAGCCCTTAATAACCGAACTCGAGGTCTTTACGGAGAAATATCGGACCCATGTCTTTTTGTACAGACCGAGCGAGGTTTGTACAAAAAGACAGAAGTCCGAAATTTCTCTGTAAAGACCGAGAAAGCGAGGTTATTAAAAGGATTATTATATGACATTATTTGACCTGAAGCGAAGCTTGCTTTCTTTCTCGTCCTTGCTGTTTTTACAGGATGGTTTTTACTTTTCTAGTTTTCGTCCATAACAAATAAATCGTTTCAAATGGTATCGTCTGGATAGTTTAACTGTTTTCCAAGTGTTTTTCCTTCGAATCACATTCGTAAATGGTTTTTTGTTTCGTCTATTTTGCGTTTTGCTGTTTGCATTACGAACTTTGTTTACATTTTACAGTAAAATTGCGCGTTTTGGACAGTGGTTGATTACGGGAAAATAATGGACCGGCAAAAATGTTTCTGAGCCAACCAAAGCGCGCCATTTAGCCGGAAGTGACGTTTGCCATATAATAATAGCAATTAATGGTGCTCTCATTCTCAAGCTCGTCTTTTCTGGCAATTGGTAATGTAGCCAAACGTGCAGCAGTAGTATCAAGGATAGTCTTTCTATAACTTTAAAAGTTTGATCTGATAAAAATGTTTTGCAAGTTCAATCACGTGAAGTTAATGTTGAACAGCTTACTATGAACTGCCGAAAATCTTGCTTGCTTCTTTTCTCAATAACTTTTTTGCCCAAAAAAATATAATCGAGTTGAAAGATGAATTGAGGAACATAACAAGGAAGATCCACGTAAACGCCAGAATTTGCTCGAACACTTCAAGGGTTCTCATGACAGGTGCAAGACTTAAAGCAGGCAGGAAATTAAACGTAAAAAAACAAGCGACAATTAAGAAACAAGACTTTGCTTGTGTGACTTCACGAATTAGCACTTTCCACTTTACACTAGTTTGACCAACATTGACGACGTTGTCAAAACCAATAGCACGCACCTTGTCAATTCTTATCAGCCTTCGAACGACCACGTATATTTTTGAGTAAACAAACGCAGTAAAGAAGAAAAGAATTGTTGTCCTCATTGCAATGTATATCATAGCCATTTCATCGGTTAAAGTAACGAGCACTCCTTGAAGGAGTGCATCAATTCCAAAACCGAAAACCAAGGAGAATAGCAGCCTCGTTTTGGTGACAACAATCGGGTAGCGATACGGATGAAAAATCGCGACGTACCGTTCCCATGTCATGGCGAATAAGTTGATGGATGAGAGACCGATCGTAAAGCATGTCGAGATAACAAGCAAAGTGGAAACGATACATCCTGCCTGGGTGCCGTTTACACCATTCAACATCATCAAGATGAAAAGAGGGGCTGTGAGAAAGCATGCTGTCAGATCAATACAAGACTGCATAAAAATGATGAAATAACACGGCTTGCTCTTCAGCTGTGACGATCTTGATATGGTCAACGCAGCAACACCGTTAAGAGATACTGTAAAAATGATCAACACACACATCGTAATAAGAGCAATACCTTGATTGGTTGCATATTCAGTCTTGGGAAACGCCAGCACCGAATTAGATGTCACGCCGAGCAAATCGCAGAAAACAACCAACTTCGTAGTTTCAAGAGAATTATCTGTTGTGTTCATTGTAGTTTTTTAATGGACTACTTTGTATCATATACGTTCACGGCAACTTATACACATGCTACTTGAGTTGAGTGTACCAGCTGACTGATTGTATCTATGACAGCAACAAATATTTAACATTTTAATCATATGAATATGTAAAATCGTACATTTACTGAAACTGGATTTGCTTACATACACCTGTCTTTTTGTCATTGCATTAGCTTTTAGTAATATTAAGATGAGTCGCCAAAACAGAAAAACAATGTACAATCATGGTTGGATCTCGATGCACACAATCTCTTTAAAAAGTCCAAACAAACGACAACGGTCAGCATCATGTATCTTAAAGGATTTTTCTACCAGCATCAACATATTATATTAAACAGTTTGGGACTTTTAACATGGGCCTAACAAGCTGGGATCAATTAGGTGATAAATGACTATAATATACGGCAAATCAATCCAATATTTATCGCTATTTTATCACATTATAAATCATTGCAATGCACGCACACGACATTATAGTATTCCTTACTGGAATAAATTATACATTGTCACCGGGATGAGCTTTGCTGTTTTGGGGCTTTTTAAAGTTTTTTCAGGGGCCTATCGAGTGAGACTCAGCCCCACCAGCATATCTTGAAAAAATATTCGGTAATTTTTTAAAAGATAGATGGTTATTTAAACGAAAGCAGTTGGTAATTTTTTTAAATCTATGTCGTAGCTGGTCTTTCAACTACAGTGTTACAAACATATATGTATCGTGATTTCCAAAAAGCGTAAAGTGGCTTCGTCAGTAATTCATTAACTTTGTCGCTAAAACAATTGATAAAACAACTCGCGATATCGAAATGCCTTCGTTACGCCTCTTTGTTGCCATATTTATGAATGAAATAAATCGAATCTTTTCAAATTTCACAAGATCGTTTTTCGCCTCTTTGACACACGTGTGCCCATTGACCTAAGTGGGGCTCAACAGTCGATACAACGATTCTGAAACCAAAACAAAGCTTCGAGTGTCATTTATCAATCAATTTTTCCAGCAGACAAATATAAAAATGAGCCAACAACAAACGGAAAAGTTTATCATCTATAAACAACGTGTGATTCAAGGCAAGTCACCTTTTGAACTTCACTTCAAGAGCTACAATCCTTGAACACCTTCAACAGTATAGTTTGTCAATGCTACAAAAAGAAGGAACGCAGGGAGATTACGAAGTCATGACATTGAGGAGGAAAATAGAGCAATTCGGAACACAGGTACGCCCACCATCATCGAACTGTGTTCCAATCACGGGAGTATGACGTCATTTGTGATTAGAACTAAAAATGACGACGCACTATAAATTGTTCAAGTATTTATATCTGAGCGAACAACAATATACACAAAATAAATTTCAGAGCAAGTTCACATTTCACAACCGTAGCTGTTTTTATGCTTTAAAAAAACTAAATAGTTCTATTTCAGATAACGTAGACGTGTCGCGCAGGTCCAAAATATTCCTGGGACCTTACCTTTTGTTGCTTTCAAAGATTATTTATTTAGCCTGTCGACCTGCCCTGAACTTTTTGACCGTGTTTCTTAATTTGTACTTCTAACAAGTTTTGATATCAAGAACTTTCTCTAGTTTCAGGATTGTTTGTTATTAAAAAGGTTGCGTGTAAGTATGGGCCCTTTTTCATTTTCAAGTAGGTGTCCATTTTGCCATGACACACTGGAACAAAGGGCCAGTGCGAGTTTGAAGCGGCAGCTATCCTTGACTTTCAACCATATTCTTGAGATTTGCCAAACAATGTTGCTCGCCCAAGTCGACTGGTGCCAACAATAGCGCTGATAAAATATTCTTTTGTATCAGACCACCAGCATGGCTGAATTGCAAGTCAAGAATAGCGTAACTGTTTAATAAATCAAAGAAATACTCACCTTTTGTACTGTATCGTCGCACCAAGTGTATTTTGTTTGTTCCCAAATTATTTGAAGATCTGCAAAGGATTTTGTCAAAACATTGTTACAGCTAAGCATCCCATGTACTTCTTGGCAAATATCCCATGGCAAATCATTTCCAAACACGTCCGTTTGAATTTATAATCTTTCTCGTTAAAAAACATTTATTAGCTGGGCAAAATGACACTATGTACCCTAATTACAATGCAGAGATACCATAAAGAATAAACGGGTGTGTTGAGAAAAACAAGGGAATTTCTAGAATAAGTGGTTCAAAAAATATAATGATCGATTAACATGCCAAGTCGGAATATTTGCATGAACATGCACAATTAATAAGGTAAATCAAAGAATGCTATTATGACATTGCTCATTGTTATTTTCGAGGGTGGACGAAGGAGATTCGTCCTCGCATTCCATTCGTTGATCATCGAGATCATCTGAGTTCGAGTTATCATCACGTCTGGTGTAGCAAAGTAAGTACGCAGATGACGACTGAAAGATAAAAACAGTTGAACATACGTGACTCACCAAAGACCAAAGCCATGGCTAGTAGCTATAAGTTCAATTATTGTATTTCTCAAAGAATTTGCGTCAACCAAGATGCATGTAACGGTGTAAACATAAAAAAGCGCGCAGTGCATCTTGGTTGACACACATTCTTTAAGGTTAAATGCATGCATTAGCATAGCGAAACATGCAAGTTTTAGTCGTGCGATGTAAATTTCTTAACAAAATATCATTTACTTTCTAAGAAATATATATTTCACAGTAAGTAAAAACACAAAAAAGTGAGCATAGCTTGGAGGACTAAATAAGCGGGCTGGCTACACTCGGGTTGTTGAAACTTAAAATGAATGGTAAAACAAGGAATTCAGATGAGATTTGATAGCTGAACAATTAGGCAACGTTTACACTATACCGGATTGCTATCGTAGCAGGTTGAATATTCTTTGTATTAAATGGCAATGGAATTGTTCAACGTCAGAAACATCAAAGAGACTAAATCTATCAGCTTAATAGGCTTTTACTCCGAACAGTTAACCCTTTAAAGCAAATGAAGATGTGGTGATGAGCGAATCCGGCATAGTGTAAACGCAGCCTTAATGATCCAAGTAGAATCGGCCTCAACCGCTAGCTTAAATTGTTGAGAGTGTTTGACGCGTGGCCCACAAATTAAAATGAGTGAAAGTAGCGCCTGGAAAAGAGGCTGGGGTATAGAACTTGTAATACATGACCAGGATAGACTGCTACATTTTTCTGACAAGTACATGGTCAATTGCTTTAAGATCTCTTGCACAAGATTTTGGAAGAAATTTATATAAATGTTACATTCTAAATTCTACATGTGATGTGTTATTTTCTCTCATAATTTTGCAAATTTCAAAGAGTTGTTCACAAACTTAATCTGTAGTGAAAAGTATAATGAATAAGCTAAACACTCGTAGTTTATGACGCTGATGCCGTTTAATCTACGCTGTATGTAAACTATAATATTCACCGCGTTTAAAATTGCGTAAGATTGGGTAGTTGACACAATTGTACACGAGTTTTAATTAGAAAAAAGTATAAATGTTGGAAAGCTCTAAAAAAATTCTATAAAAAAAGCGGTTACTTTCAGGGGAAGGCTACTTTTGGGACTCTACGGTACTTCGATGAAATTCATTTAATCTGAGCTATTGCACTATATACTCACAACAACTCTCTCTTTTGACATCGACGTAACGCTGCTATCGTCGAAATCATACCATTGACCATTGGGATTTTTGCAAAATGCCGTGTCTAAAAAAACCGGCGAGAATTGTTGCAGATTACAATAAGTCTACTTATGATAATAACCTTGTACGATAAATAACGAGAAAAAAATTCGTGCAAACTCACAATGGCCTCCGCCAAGACCGCCAAAATGATTCTAAAACAGAACAGCACAAAAGTCAGCTAGCAAGACTACACAGCCCATTAAGAACGGCATTGTTTTGAAAATGTAAACAACACAGTATCGCTAAGCTGTAAGAAGTTTCAAAAATATCGCATAAGGCAAGATGTCCAATAAATATTCCTGACAATACGGTGGACAACAAATGACATATCTTTCTTAGTCGAAATCCAGTTTTAACTTTTTATCATGCAGCGTATGTATTTTTAAGACACCGATATTTTTCATTTTCCCACAAGAGCTCTTTACCGTGGTAAGACCGTTTTCGTCAATCAAACCATTTTCTCGACGAATTTTGTCTTCAGAACAGAAATTTTTCTCATCATAAATTTTTTTCTAATTCCTAATTAGCAAACTGCTTTGAAAATGTGAAAAATTAGCGTATTGTGAATTATAGTAGCTACAGAAAATAAGAGCGGAGATAAGAGCTGCTAAGTTATAAAAATATTCTTTCAGAATATCAAAGCAAAAAGAGAGTAATAACCAAAATATGCATCGAGTGCAGTAGCTAACGCATGGAACATTATAGAAAACATTTCAAGGAAAAATTGACTGTTGAGATTGCATGTTATTCATGTAAATCTTTCCGGACGAGGCCATCTTCATTAAATGAAAATGCTTTTCTAAGAGAAATCAGTTCGCTACGAGAAAAAGTTTTGCAATTTTTACGAGATAAGAGTAAGTCATGGGAAAAAAAGCTTAGAGCCTTATAAAATACATACGCTAATAAGAAAAGTTAATCGTGAACTCAAAAATAAAAGTATGGGAATGACATGTTAGTCACATTGTAATAACTGGATCAGGTTAACACATCAAAAGCTAGGTTACTAGCTAGCTATGAGGCATAAAAAGATACATTCAACAGAATCTTACCGATACAGCATGTAAGTCGTAAATCGCTGAGGGATGTTTCTTATTCATCACATGTTTGGACATGTCCAGATTGCTAATAATAATAGAAAGACTACATGAGACGGAAAATTATTGCAGAGCAAGCCCATGTAATGTGAAAATGTGATCGAAACCGAATTGTAACTCCGCATGCAACACATTAATGTACCATTTTTAACAACACAAGCCAGTCCTGCAATGTAATTTTTATATGTTCGTTCACGGAAAAAACAAATAGATTTCTAAAGAAATGAATAATAATGTCCTAAGATATACGTAAAAGGACCTTAACTTGTCGGCTGGCTACGCTTCCGACCCTCGAATGGCCTTACAATTTAATATATCTTAACCTGCATGTGTAGCATGTAAAAGTACATTAAATAGCGATCGCGTCGTGAATATAGTTGTACGAACAAAGTCAGATAACTACGTTTGACGAAAGCTCGATGGTTGAAGGCATTCATCTGTTTTAGCATACAGGAAAAAATCAGTTGAGATCATTTGTGCAAAATTTTCTACTTCATATACATGGGAACGACATAACAATGCACAAAATACATTTGAAACATTCATTTGCCATTCAAATTACTTTCCCTTACAAACTTACGTCAACGGAAAATCCACTTTGATGTCCAACTTGTCCCTCCAAAACCTTAATGAGAACATCAGACATTTTATGTCAAGCAGTTATAGCATAAAAACAATAAAGTTTTCTGGAAATTTTGTTCAGGAAATATCTACCTGTTATAAGAAAATCTTTTTAGATGAATAATTAAGATCTTAGGTAGAGTCCACAAATCAAATTTTTTCGTCGCCTGTCGATGTTCTTTGCACGATGGGCAATACCTAGAGTTTGTACATAGGAAAAGTCGTAAGGGAAACCGACATGCTGATAACAGATAAATAAGCTTTCTCCGATTGTCCAAGTAATTATTTATTTTTTAAAACAAAATCTGTGCTCGTGTAGATTTTACTCAAAAATATGTTCATCTGTGGGTGCACATCCTGTGAGAATATCAACATACACTTTAGCCCAATAAATTTACCCAATTGATGTGTTAGTCATCTTTCATTATAAAATAACAACAATAAAACGCGTGCACTGATTAGTTTAAAGCAGAGTTTGCAATGGCCAACCAAACTGAGTTCAATCAATCAATTCAATCGAAGAGAAATTGCAAAATCAATCATGAATACGTAGATGTTAGAGGAAAATTCAAAAAATTTGTTAGAAATTTATCGTTTTTGCATTATTGTTATTTAATAAAACAGATAAAAGATCTTTTTCATGTTGGCACAGGTTAAAGCGAACCTCAGAAGCGTTTGTACGAACTCTCGAGCAAGTGCTGGACATTTTGTCTCAGGCATGCACTGATCTGCTATCGAGCTCTCGCAAAAATCTCCTTGTCCTCGCGGTCTGCAAACGTCTGTGCAAACAGTAAACCACTTTTATTTCTTAAATCAAAATTGTGTAAATTAACCAAGAATAAAAGTTCTGTTATGAATGCACAATAACTCGTATTTTGTGTAAGCAAATAACACAAATGATAACTTCAAATAATACATAAAGGTGTTTATTTTTCATTTATGCATGCGAAGTGAAATTTTTTGATTTCCTTCAATCTCATTTGCTGCAGCAGCGGGCGGCGTTTTACGTTGTCTTGTGCAATGTAAACATTTGTTTGAAAAGAAAACTTTATTAATTTTCAAAATTGATTAATGAGCAATGTAAATTGTTTAATGAGTACGAAATGTATTCAGATGGTAGCCATCGAAGAAAACTTTGCAAAAAACATCCAATTTTAGTCTCAAAAAGCCACATCGGCCATTTTACATCTCTTATTTCTCCGATATAAAATAAAAAATAAAAACGTTATTTACAGTTAAGGCCGGTCATTACTTAAAAAATATTTTCCTCTGGCATCAAAAGCGTTCCACAGGCCGCTTTTGAAAATATGTTTTCAGTAGGGTCCAACAGCCGGTAAATAACATTTAGCTACGTATGTTACCTAAGAATAGTAGCTGTGGCTTTAATAAGATCGTGCATGTTTACAAATTGTGTTAATGATAATCATGGACGTTAGGGCAACCATAAGACGCTTTGATACAAAGCTATCGAATTGGAATATCTGCATGTATAACCAAAACAAAACAATGTAGTTACACTTACCAAGGATCGTCTGCGCTTAGTTTTTCACTATTCAAAAATAAATTGATACAATCGTCTAAATTGATTAATTTTCTTTCATGTAATTTGTGATCAACACTTTCATGGTGTCTCATCTCCTAAAATTGCATCAAAATATCAGTTTAGCAAAAAAAAACAACCCGAAAAATCAGCATTGTTACATGACATTGTGGTGCAGCGTTCGGGTCTTAAGGGATATCAGTATTCAGTTGGCAAAAATTACCACTATTGATGACATTCAACCGTTGCCTAGTACATGCATACTCGCAACGGCGGACCCAGGCAAACTTATCACAAATGACGTCATGCGTGTATGTATAACTGAACAGACAATAGTTGAATGTAATCTATTTGTTTTATTTAATAAAATCAAAACAATTTCGAAATTAAATAGGCAAACAGTTGTCCTTGTTTCTTTTGACAATACTAAACCGGTTTTCCCTTTTAGGTCAAATACGTCGGTCGCCTCAACTTGTTCTTTTCCAAGGTCTTCATTTGGCAATGATAAATGCAGGTAAAGATTCGAATATTTCCGCAATTTTTTTGTGATTTAAAAACGAGAAATTTTCTGTGACGTCATTCCCTGCTCATAGATCATGGCTTTCCACCAATTAATTGCCTCAAAATCTTGTTATTAATAGACAAATTAATAATGTAAAGTAAATGGATTCACCTCTGCCTTTTTTTCATCGTAATACTTTGATCGCATTTTGGGATACCAATCCACAGCGACGTAGCTTCTTGCTAAAATTACAAGAGGAAATAGAGCATAACAAGAGCACAGTACACAAAGCACACAGCTGACGATGTATCTTATCGAAGACCATTTAAGACAAAAACTAAAATCCTTTTAAATCAAAACATTTTTCACGTAATACAAGAAGGAATACACCATTTATAGCGTACAATATACTGTAAACAATTTTATATAAACACAACACACTGTAAGCAATGTTATAAGACCACAATATACTGTAGGTAATGTTATATAGCCACAATACATTGTAAACAATGTTAGTATATTCAAGGATAAAAATTGTTATGATTAATACTTAAGGATATAAGACAACAATAGTTAAGCGGCACGTGACCAAAACGTATATTAAAAGATCTTATCATCATAGTTTTCTTTGTATCTTTTACCGCCAAGCTGTGTTGTCACTTAACTTATCTATAGCGAACTTTCTTTCATAAACGCAACTATTCCATTCAAAGTTAACAGTTACATAAACACAATATGTTATATAAATTTTTGCACAAATTTTTCCATTTACATTATATTTTCATTAAACGCAAAATTTAAAATCAGAGTGTGCATTGTAAAATAGTTTATGCATATCTCTTCATTCTCAAGATATTGAAAGTTTTGTAATGTCCTATTTACACAGCTTGTGACTTCACTTTCATAAATAACTGCAAAGTTTTAAGCAATCTTTACATTCGAGGCAACTTTAGGTTGAGATGATTAGGCAATTTTTATAGCCTTAACTCCTCACAATGAAGGAAACTTTGCTTGGTTGAAGTAAAATATCAGCAAATGTACCTGCCATTTTAAATCCTTATCATGTAATGTGACGTCACAAGTTGCGCGAAGCAGGAATGACATAAACTTCAATATCTTGAGAATATTCTCAAGACACACGCCTACACTACCCTTATAACAACAATTTTTGCATAATGAGCGTCACAGCCGTATTGCTCGTCAGGAGCTGTGTGCCAAAGCCGGCCGAGATATGCTTTCACAGTTACAACGAACACAGATTAGAAAGCAATCATCATAAAGTTTATTTCATATATATCTAATTTACAGGTTGTGATTTCACAACTTCTTCGTGGAAAAGAGCTAAGGATCTAATGGAGCCAGAAAACTAACGATCATCGGATGTTTATGAACACTTTCTTCATGTTGGACGGTCGTCTGCAACACCAAAACAACTTGCCGCATCACCGAAAGAAACACATTGACAACTAAATAACCACAGACTTGACTGTTTATCGCGCCAATCACAACTATTACCGACATCTGGTTACGGATCGGAAAAGTCAGATTTTCATTTAGTGATTGAATCGTCAACTTTTCCTTCTACTCGCGATTCACTTGTAAAATACGTCGATTGCAAATGCGTGACGGGCTCAGGAACCCCCCAAGCGACAGTCATGTTCAAAGGCTCATTTGGATTGTGGAGTGGCACATGTAGACACCCAGAACACTCAGAAACGAAACAATGAAGACAATGACAAAGGAAATTTATATCTTCCAATTTCTTCGACACCAAACAAAATGATAAAGACAACGATGAGGTCTTATGAACAGTGATTGCATGATAAACATCAAGCATCACTATATCCCGTTTGTTTGTGAACAGAAAGAAGTAGGAAATTGGCTTGATGGTGATTTGAAACAAGAATGAAACAGTTTATATTCGCAGATATCCTTTTGTTTTGAGCAGAATCGAAGTGCAGACATCTTAAAGTGTTAAAGAGTGTCATTAAGCACAATGAATTTGAAGCATTTAAGTGCTTTCGTAATTTTCGGATTTTTGGATAATGACGAGGATTATTATATAAGCGGGCAGAAAATGGCTAGAAGAGCGAAATAAGCACATTATATCCGTATTACACATTATGGAAGAAACTAATTTTCGACGCGGTATATTTTCCGGATTTTTTTCTGTTGTCATGTGAAAAGATATGAGGGTTAACAAATCGCTCTTTCATATATTTCTTTGCGACATCTTAGATGTTGGCCGATTTCTTTACACAATTTCTCTTAGGCAAAGTGGTTATTCCGTATCATCTAACTTGTTTGGAAAACCTTTCTCTATGAGCATTGAAGTTGATTCAACGACAAATAAGGAGCGATAATATGAGATATACTTACGAGAAATATTTAACGGTTTACCATCATCTTTCAAATGATCGATTTCAGCACTACCATAACTGTTCACTGTGCACATTGTAAAAAGTACAGGCATTCCTTTACAATTTGATGATTCACTCTTTACTTCGCTAGACGATTCCTAGAAAAATGTCAAAAATGAACCTATGTTAACTTTCATCAACAGTTCAGTAACTCTAAATGCTCAACACAGGACTTCATTAAACTGATCCAGAGTGCGGCGCTTTACTGATCCTGAAATGAAAACTTTCGCTTCTTTCTCGTCCTCGTTGTTTTGTGCGGGTAGCTTTCACTTTTCTATAGTCTTCCTGAGTAAAAATATATCGTTTGAAATTTCGTCTCGATACTTAAACTCACTTTCCGAGTGATTTTCCTACGACATACATTCGTACATGGTTTTTTGTTTCTTTTTTCTGTGTTTTGCCGCTTGCTTTTACGTTTAATTTTAAAATTACGTGTATTGGACAACTGGTCCATTACGGGAAAGTAATGAACCCGCAAAATGTTTCTGAGCAAAACAAAGCGCGCCATTTCGCCGAAGATGACGTTTTCCATGTAATAAGAAGTGTTCAAAGAATGAGAGTCAACCAAGATGCATTTCACCTTATTCACATCGCGACGGCCATTTTGTGCGCCGAAAAAATGGCGGATTTTGTTATTGCAGTCCATGCAGCTTAGACAAACGATGGTAATTATGCAACATTTTTAATCGACGTTTTTTGCAAACTTTTCAGATAAATTAGACGACGTATAGGGACGAAATTGTATTCAGTGCACCCCATGCTCAAAAGTAACGATGTAAACATAAACATAAGCGCGCAATGCATCTAGGTCGACACACATTCTTCAATGTCAAACGATCAGAAAAAAAGCTTGTAGAAAACACTGGTACTTACGTCTTCCATCTTATCGTTTGTTTCCTCCATCGTATCATTTCTTTCCTCCTCTGTTTCGTTATTTTGTACTTCATCATCTTAAACGGTAAAGAGTGTGAACATCAGCATCAACATTTTTCTACGTGAAGTCAATTATCCATCATGTTCACCCTTTGTCCATGAATATGGGCAAATAAACGCAAGGAAACACACGTTACCGTTTTTAATGCCTGAGTTGCCATTCTCCTTAACGACAGTGATAAACCGTCTGTGAATAGGGAAAATTGTACTCGATAAATTGGAAGCAAACGTTATCAGTATATATAAAATATAGATGGTTGTATAAAAAAGTTGACTTTAAGAAAAAGTTCTTTAAAACAAGACGCACGCTTACTAAGCAAAAACGTTTGGTTATTCTAAATGTTTTAACGTTCTCTGGTACAGTTAGCAAAGAATTTTTTGAAAATGCAAGATTTTTTACCAATGAAAGAAGCGTGGTTATAAGGCCTTCAAGACCGGCCTTGCGCACGAAAAATACAGATTGAAATAACAATTTGATAGTTCTGACTCAAAATATGGACGATATTGTACAAGCTAACTAAATTTCAAGCAATTTGGAATAAGCGCTGGCCAACGCGAGATATTTAAAATTGGGATTTTTTTTCTCGTTTTCGCATTTCATGCTAGCTTTTAGTACGAAGTGATGTAATAAAACTAGGTTTAAAAAGGCATTGACGCAGAAAATCGTGAGTTTCAAAAAAAGTTTACAACAGTTTCATTATCAGTTAAGAGCAACAGATGTTCACTTAAATACATTCTAAACAGACAATTTTTACCTCATTTTATCAACAATGGCATCATATAGCTCCTCGTATGTCGTTGAATCAACATCAACGGTCACAAAGAACGGTTTTCCAAACAAATTAGATGATGCGGAATAACCACTCTGTCTAAATGAAATTGAGAAAAAAGATCAGCTAACATTTAAAGCCGGGTTTGCACTATTGACTAATACCTGAGCTAGGAACGACTAGGTCTGCATTGCAAACGGATCAATACAGACCTCGGACTGACCTCGGACTGACCTAGGACAAACTTTTCAAGCGAAGCACTGCTCTAGTGCGAGGCACACTCTCCTTGATCAGTCAGAGGTAAGTCTACTAGTTTAAATGCATATACTGGCTTAGTCAGGCCAATGTTTCCACCAGCCAATATTAATATTATTGGAGAGAAATCCAAGTCGTGTGTTTGATTTTGCTCAATAACAATTGTTCTAACGATTAGGAAAATATCATTCGAAATTTCAAACAATTGAGTCTCGAAGTTTTTTTGCAGATATCGAAACTCGGTTCTTGATTTCAACACGAAATTGATAGCGTTCAACATAATATTGTTTATGCCAAACAGGAAAACGTTAATAAACGAACTTGATCAACTTTGCAATGGCTATATGTTTAAAGCTGCTCAACGGCTTTGCAAGAGAATATTCAACCATTGCACGTAGGCATAATATAGGCTCAGGAAATAGTTGCAATGAAAACGCTCTCTCTCAGGCGCAGATCGGGTCTGTGTAAGTCCTACGTCAAACACGTCATAAGCTCACGTATAAACGTAGCTTAAGTTGACGTATAGCCAGATACGTGAGAGAACAAGTCGTTAACCAACATGTCAAATCACACACAGCACAAAAACTTACTTCTTCTCACGGAGATATACCGGGATACTGATTACATCATTGTTTTCTTGATCAGGAACTTCATAACTATAAAGATCATACATCAAATAAATATATGCAGGCGCGGAGTTCAGTTCGAAGGCATTCATAAAAATAACATAAATACTCACATAAAAATATCATCTCTGTCGATTATATTATTGAGACTGTCCGAAAGTGCAAATATCTTGTGGAAGCGATGGTTGTATACATCAACGACAAACATCTTAACATAAAATATCAATTTATTAATCAGATGTTGAATGAACACCAACCGTATAGTCTCGAAGATAACCTCCCCCTGAATCACGCCCACTCCCCTCCCCCCGACAGTAGCCGTCTCGTGAGGCTAAAAAATATGAAACTATTGACGGAGATAGTCTACAGATAAAATGATGATGGCAATTCAGTTAAAACACACCTTGATCGCAATGCTGTAGAGAATAAATACGAAATTCAGGTGTTTGAAATGGGACTTTAATTGCTTTGAGAAAAACATTTGGTTTGCAAAAAAAAAGGTTAAAACATAGAAAACGACAAAATCAACTCAAAATTTTGAATTTAGTCGATGGACAAACAACTTATGCTACGTGGAAACGTACACAACATGTTCACTCAACATCGCTCAACATTGTAGATTCAACATGATGAAAGCATTTGCACACATTGTTGAGGGGTGTCGTGAGGTGTTGATAGAAGTTTGAACTTGTTCAAACTTTCCACTCAAAAGCGCTCAACATTGTAGATTCAACATGTTGAGAGCATTTACACACATTGTTGAGGGGTGTTGTGAGATGTTGATAGAAGTTTGAACTTGTTCAAACTTTCCACTCAAAAGCGCTCAACATTGTAGATTCAACATGTTGAGAGCATTTGCACACATTGTTGAGGGGTGTTGTGAGATGTTGATAGAAGTTTGAACTTGTTAAAACTTTCCACTTAAAAGCGCTCAACATTTAGATTCAACATGTTGAGTGCATTTGCACACAATGTTGAGGGGTGTCGTGAGATGTTGATAGAAGTTTGAACTTGTTCAAACTTTCCACTCAAAAGCGCTCAACATTGTAGATTCAACATGTTGAGTGCATTTGCACACATTGTTGAGGGGTGTTGTGAGATGTTGATAGAAGTTTGAATTTGTTCAAACTTTCCACTCAAAAGCGCTCAACATTGTAGATTCAACATGTTGAGAGCATTTACACACATTGTTGAGGGGTGTTGTGAGATGTTGATAGAAGTTTGAACTTGCTCAAACTTTCCACTCAAAAGCGCTCAACATTTTCTTTGTTCTGCGCTCACCGATGCGTGCCTAAACATTGTTTAGAGAGTTTTTGAACAGCTCACTCAACAACGTTGAGCAAACGCATGCGCACTCTGCATATTATTGTAAAAATGGCGTTGTTGCTAGGCATCGAGGAATATTTCATGTCATAGGCTCAGCATGTTAAGGGAGTTTGCACTCATGGCTAAACACCACTAAACAAGCGCAAGACAACGTTGAGCGCATGTTGAGTGAGCATATTGAGTGCGTTTCCACGTAACTTCACTATACTCTACCTCATTTAATTCAAACAATAGTTTAACAGATATGCAACATAATCATTAATAAAGAATGAATGTTTCGAAATTGTCATGTTTGAGAAATAAAACATATTTCCTCCAAAACATAATTTTTGAACAGCCTATTTTAGGTTTCAGAGTTACCCATTTTCCAACTACCACTTCCCATTTTGGAAAATGGAACGCCTTAGGAACACCCCTGCTACAGTCTCAAACCCACAAGAAATTCAGACATGAACGATACAAGGAAACCCACAAAGGAGCCACCGAAAGCCCATCTTATAAAACCTAGCCCCATTACTCTCACACAAAGCAATCCTAGATCCATCGCAGTGTTTACATAACGCAGGCAGAACAGACAATCTTTTGCTACACTTTGTTTCATAATCAATAAAAGAACCTTACATGTTTTTCTGAGACACCATTTTCCTTGCGCATTGCTTTCGTTAAATCTTTAACTGTTCCTCTCTTCGGTACAGTCAACCTGTACTGGAATGGAAGGAAAAAGTTGGCAAAAATATAAAAAGAAATAAAGACCAATCATGTTTGGTAATTTTGCTTTAAAAGAAACTACACCAAGTTTTCTAAACATGCGTCTTTGATTCGTTGCAAGTGCTTTGAACGAGCAAACTTTGGTCGACTAGTCGTCACGCGCACAATATTTCATTATAGTAAAGCAATGAGCACAATTCTTTATGTCCAAGACGTGAAAGTCAATTTTTGTAGTTTTCCTTTGAATGCTCAAACGAGCATCTTCAACATGCTACGCGAAATAATTTGACTTTTAAAAGAAATTATTCGGACAAAACTGAATACATGAATATACACCCACTCCCCAATTAATGTTCAAGCCATCTCCTTGCAAAATATGCTTTGATGATTCATCTCATCTAACCTCCATGGGCAAAACCATTGGATCTCTTGAAATAAAAAATACATTGATAAGACGCTCTTTCTTTACGGGCAGGGGCAAGCTGAGATAACAGAATGGATCGAATGTGATGGAGACCTGAAAAATAGTTATAAACGGCTCATACTATGGTGTGTTTTTACGATACCTCAAGCCGCTATGCTGGTAAATTATGTGAAATGGGCCGAAGCTCAACATAGCACGAGATCAACATTAATACTTTTATTTTATGTGTTTTCCTACCAACATGGCCGACAGTGAAAACACTCTACACCTCATGATAACTGTCTTTAAAAATAGATATGATGCAAAAGTCCCAATAAACAAACATATTCGATACCAGGGGCGAAGCTAGAACGTTAAGTGGGCGCAGGGGATTGTGAATATCTATATATTCAGCCTGCTAACTAATTTTTTGTCAGCGATTGTAATTTCAAAAGAAATCAGCAGGGCAGAGCTGAATATATAAATATATTCACAAACCCCTTTAACGTTCTAGTTTCGCCCCTGTACGATACACATCCATATTCAAGAAGCCTGTAATCACCCGTTTTACGAACAAAGATTTAAATTTTTCACATGACTGTTGACCGCTGACAACATATACTAAGAATGCGTAAATTGAGCACAAACACTTGTTCATGCATGTCAAGAGAATGTCAAACTATTGCCCTCATCTGACCTTACTGCAATCTGGACAAGTCAAAGTCGACTTAAACTGTCCATGAAAAAAGTCGACAATGATAGAATCGTTTCTTCTTCGATGAGCTTGCCATAATTCTTGAGCCACAACCTATACGGCATATAATAATGGAAAAACCATCAAGAGAAAATTTTCTAGTACGTAGCATGTCGTGCAACACTCTTAGTATTATATTATACGTCAAACTACGTTTTATGGATAATGCATATATATCGCATGATTATGAGAGGATTTTTTGAATGCCATGCGTGCACCATGGGTGCATACCTTGTTGTTTTCGACATAAGTTTAGAAATAAGCCATTGAATTTGATTCTCACAAGTTATAAAATAATATTAAACTTTACGTATTAAATTTCAGTTTTATGTTATTCCCATCCGAAAAAAAACTTTTCCAACCGACAATTTAAAAAAATAAAAGTTAAAACATACTAAAAAAAAACACCATTTTGTAAACTCGAGATCCGAGTCATATTAGCAAGAGCTTATTATTTTGAATCTTGTCACTTGCTAATGTAGCTCGAACATAGAGTTAAAAGATGATATTGTTCTAGGTATGTTTTATATTATATCTCATTCGAAAGTCGAAGACATAATGCCACCAAATAAAGCTAGTACAAATATCAAACATCACTGACTTCATCAGGTCTACCATCGGCGTCCTTAAGTTCGACGTACGGTTTTTTCTTGATCCTATTCAGATCCTCATGCAAACCGTCCAAAAGAAATGCCATAAGCTCCTGCGAATCTTGCTGTTGATAACCGGAGAACTGAGGCGCAAACCTCCCTACGGCAGTCTTAAACTGCCTCGGCGATATAACACTGTACTTGCCCGACCACATCTGATGCATGAGGCCCGCATAAGCCTTCGCAATCTCGCCATGCATGCCTAAAGGGTTCTCTATGTTAAGTTCGCTTTTATAGCAGTCATTCACGAAGAACTTGGTCAAGGTGACGCAATTGCTGAGGCATTGCACAGCAGAGTTCATAAAGCATGTGTTGCCCAGGTTCGAGAGACCACATAGGCCAGGAAGACTCGGAGATTCTCGAGCATTATACTCGTTGTAATAGCTGGAATATCCACCAGCACTGCTGTGGCTTGAGTACGGACTAAAACAAAACAAAAACTCTCATACTTTGTAATTTGAGCCAAGTACGAGATCGCAGGCTGATCGAGAACACTACATCAATACAATGTGGATCGCACAACCTTTCTTTCAGTCAAATCAATGTTTTTTTTTTCAAAATTGAGGATACAACACATTTCAGTGCAGTGAAGTGTCGTTTTCTTTTTGCCCATTGCGATGACAAGAAAATAGGGCCTCATTTTAAGCTCTTCATAATGTTTTGTCACGTACATTCTGTCACATTACACCTAGATTATGTATGCAGTTGCTTTTTTAACCCATAAGAGTAGAGCTAGAAACCTGGATTTGCAAGTGGTAATATTACCAAACCGCCAAACTTTAATAGCATTGAACCAAACTTTAATAGCATTGAACTGAAAATATATGAAATGCTACCTCCAGCCAAAATTCAAAACCAGTAATTTAACTAGTCCCAATCTTTCCACAAACTGCCCAAAGAAAAGTTCATTTCCGACGATGAGCTAAAAGGCGGGATTCAACAACCAAACACGCGTAAACCACCAAACACGTGTTTGGTGGTAAAAATTGGCTTCGTGCAAGTACTGTCGTGTTCATATAAAAATGGCATTCCACTCATATAATTAGTTCAATGATTTAGAGTATTTACCTGTTTGCGGGAAACGTTGATTCGATTGGCGACGTTGAAAGCTAAAGCAAAATATTCATTTGAGACATAAAAAAATTATCATCATCGCACAGTTAATTGAAGTTTAACTAGACACAAACAATATTTCATACAAAAATCAACAATCGTTTCCAAGACGGTGGCAAACGAGAGGAAGTTCAATTTCAACTATACTAAACGCCGGTCTCTTTACACTTACAGCCATTAAATAACCGTGTAAAATATTGACAGATCAACGAAAAGTATGAAATAGAATTCTATTTGATAATTGTATACAAATTACTTAATAGAGAAAGAGCCATAAGCTAAGTTCACCCGATTGAAATAGAAGCACAAACAATATAAAAAGCCGGCACAAAAACCATTTTCTTAACCACAAAATAGAAACAATGAGTGAAAAATGGAAAAATAGCGACCCGGATGCTGGTAACTGGGATACTGCGTACAAAGCAAAATTTTTGACCAAGGATAACACCCTGATGAATCACAAAAGTCGAATTAACAAAAATCCATAAGGAAGTTAACGTACCGACAACGTTTAAGCAGGTACGACAACAAGGGCTACGTAGTTTTAAAATTTTTTAACAACTAACGTTAAATGTAGGATTTAAAGTTAAATGTGTAAATAAGTAATATTTATACGGCGTTTGAACAAGATTTTCACGATGCGCTAGTTATTTATGTTCAAAATCCCACAAAACCGTAGCTCTATGACTTTCATCGTTAATTAACGACGTTATGAAATGTAAAAGATGGAAAAAAGATATAGAACGGATTTATTCATAATCCAAATTCCTCGACAAATGAAAGTAAGTTTGGTTAACACCATACACGTTTTCATAAAAGAATATTTATCGTACACTTACCGACGATGATGAAAATGTTGAACTAGAAAACAAAAAAACAATAAAAAAAATTTAAATGTACGCATGCACCAATGACGTAGAACCCAATCTACTAGATATCTGACTCAGCCAAAATTCTATAGTTACGAGGCAAGCCGTCTTCTTCAAAATATTTACGATTAATATCTGCATTTCCAGAATTTAAATACAGTTGATAGTCAAGCTTAGATTTTTAAAACGTTTGACAGGGAATATTCGCTGAAAGTCGTGTAAAAATACGTAAATGAGCACTCGGATCATTGAAGATTGAGACTGTTTAGCGACCCATCTTCTAAAAAATATTAACAGGTAGGACCATGAACAGTTATTTATTTAAAGTGCATATAAACCTTACACGATTTTAGTAGTGTCTGAAAGAACAACTCTTGAAATTAACAAATTCAAAAAAATTAAATTGATTTACATTAAATCTATTTTGGAAAATTGCTGTTAAAAATCTAAATTTACCGTTTATATTTTTCACTAAGGGGTCTGGTATCAAGTTCATGTCGTGACGTCATGTAAGGAGCACAGTTCGCACGGCTCTATTTAATACAAGACAAACTATCTGCTGTAAATTATCCATAGCGTCCTTTTTTTAAAATTGGCCTTATTTAGGTCGGCATCTTCATCGGTGGATTCATCAGAAAATGAAATTTTTGACATAGACTTCGACAGTATTGTTCAACAGTAACACTAGGCTCGAATGCAAAAAGAACACGCGGCATAATATTCACTATTTATATCGGAAGGTAGGACGGGATGATTCCATGACGGGTTGTATACATCCCTCGTTTATATGAGTTTTACACAGTGACAAAAAGTAATTGAGAATAAGAAACCATCATATCACGTCTCCTTAGCCTTGATTTGCCAAAGCCTTTGTCGTTTGCGGCATCCGTACTTCATCGTGTGAGCTTTGTAAGAAATTCAGACAATACAAATCTCGCTTTCAGAATGGCATATTTGTTGCTTTGTATTTGACTCGAATAAGAAATTACAGTTGGTAGTTCTGAACTTTGACTGCCATCTATCGTTTTGTTTCAATGCTGTTGTGTTGCTAAATTTATTTATATCCGGTTGATTTTGACAGGTTTAGTATCTGGATAGTGAAAAATTTGAGCATTTATATGACCAAGAAATGTCCCGTGTTGACCAAGATCACGGTTAAAAAAAATCGACCCGACTAACCATCACGAGATAAAAAACGTGCCGGTTCCATACAAACAAATGACAATTACATATAGAAAATGTATAAAATCCGAGGTCTCATTCATCTCCCGTTTCGGGAGTCAATCCATCCCGGCTCTCATACAAACAAGCGCTTTTTGTGCCCATATACGTAGGAGAAGATTCGGCCAGCAATGACTGAGAACAAAGACTCTACACAAGCTTGCTTGTCTTGCAAATTAAAATATACCGCCTAGTCAAGTTCTTGAGTTTAAATGTAATATGCAAATACTATACATAGCTGATATTGGGCATTTTACTCGCTTTAACGCAACAAAGTCGAGCCTCTTATTTCAAAAGGATTGATACACCCATTAAAAGAAATGAGTGAAGGCAGGGAACGTTAGAAATGCCGGTTATAGTAGAGTGAGTTGGACTTATATGACAACATCTTGCTATAATTTTCATATATCTTTACGACAGTTCAGACCCGTGTTACTTACATGACGTCGCTGGACACGCAGGCCCAGTCCTATAACGGTAAAACCTAGCGCTTAAAATGGCATATATTTGCAATTTTGACAGAGTTTACAGCGCAAACTATTTTTCCGATTAGAGCAAAATTTTGGATTATGGCTTTTGACACCACGTACATTGGATAGTGTAAAAACGACGTAAGGTTTATATGCACTTTAACTTCCACAAGTCTAAAATGTCCTATTGTGCAAAACAAGATAGTAATTTTGACAGTGTCCAAAAAATATATATACGTAAAACAATACATCTGGGTATGAAAAACAAAATGGACACTGATATAAGGTCATCTCTAGCAAGTCAAATTTAGGCATGCATTTCACTTTTATTTCATACCTTCTGTTAACGTCTTTTGTCCAACTTCCATCCTCATTTTTTTCTTCCAAAACAACGAGCTATAAGGAGAAAATAAAAAATCGATAACGTCTTGTCGGATCGGTCAACGATATAGCTAAAAATTGGCACCAAAATAATGTACAAGAAAAAAATTATCGATAAATCGAAATTATGCAGTATATCGATACATCGAAAAATATCGGTTTTTGCAAGCATCGATATTTCGATCTTGAAATTTTCGATATAACGAAATATCGATATTTTTCGGTATTATCAGTTTACGTTTGCGTCTGCTTGTTAAATGCGGTGGCGGACACTTTATAAAATATTGGAGGTAGGGAGGGAGGGGGCTGTTCGTCCTCAAGGCATGACATTTCTAGGGAGATTCCAGGGCATACCCTATTGGTATACTTTTTTGATGTCCAGAAATTTAATCAAAGCATTTCCACGAACACATGATCCATACACACACAAGGTTTAATGCGTCTGCTGGTAGCTACATGAATAGTACTGAAGTCTATTGGAACTAAAGCGCCCCCTCGCCGCCTCCAGTGTCGGCAACTATTTAAATGTCACACCAATACACCAAACTTTTTTAAGTATAAACACTAAAACAATTAAATATAAACACTAAAACAATTATATCACACAAATTTCACATGCTATTAGAAACCGGTGTTCATTTGTGAGTCGAAGGCTAAAAGACGGTAAAATTCTCATCTCACAAAAAACTCAGTTAAAACCAGAGCAGATCAAGCGAACGTGATGGTGCTTCATTGTTTCTAGCAGAAAATTTGTAAATAAAAAACATTTTTTCTGGAATTTCTTTCAATAAATAGCGACCAATGATGAATATTTTGAAGCAATTCTTTGCCAAACTTATCAAAATATGAAACTTTTAAGACCATACAAACGTGGAAGTCACGCAACATCACGTGCGTGACAAACATTGCATAAAAATCAAATGATCTATTTACTATTTACATAAATCAATTAAATAAAAACTTTAACAGATTTCTGTGCCGCCTATGGTTTCACAGGAACAAATTGCAAAGCTGCTATAGAGGCTAAAATACGACTAATATACCAGATGGTGGCAAAAGACAGCAGAAGATGATGGCTTTCGTCCTTAAGTGCATAAACGAAGACCTAAACAAACTATTGAAACAGAATATAAAATGCTTGCCATTTCCCGCTCTTTATAATTTGTTTGAATACGCTTGTACCATGCATTTCTTCATTAAGCCATCGTTTTACATTTTATAGATGTATTCGGGGTTTTTCACAAATGAGATGAATTAAAATAAAAATATTTGCCAAATTTCTCAACACATTCTTCTTGTTCGCTTTGAACGCTGTAAACGACTGAACGTGGCATAATGGGATTGAGAGAAAAACCTTATGTCTAGCAGTGGCGTAGAAAACTCGTTAATTGGGGGCGGGCTGCATATGTTCAATTGTTCATTATACGCAGGTTTTGATCCGTAAAAAACAAATAATTTCAAAGGAACTTAAAATGGAAGAACATGTGCGTATACGTGGATATGTGTCAACCATTCTTTTAAGTAACAAGTTTGCCAGGTCACTGTCTAATTTACGTTGACGAGTGTGTTATTATAAATGGCAGCAATTTTAATCGCATCATAATACAGAGAGCATTTTTTTGTATATCAAGACAGTCGATTTAAGTGATATCATAAAATACCTCAGTCTTTATTCAAAAACAATAAAACATCCCTGGCTCACCTGCCCATTATACAGACCGCAATCTTGTATAGTTTGGTCTTTTCTACTCAGAAGTTCGTAAGTATTACTCATGTATTTGTTCCATAAACGCGTGTCTTTGTCCTCAGATATATCAAATTTCTTCCTCATTGTCGTTTCAACATGGCCTATAAGTTTTGAATATCTACGTATCAAGTACTTGGTCATACACAATATTTTAAGAAACAAAATGTGGTAGGTAACACAAAACAAAATTTGGTAGGTTACACAAAACAAAATGTGGTAGGTTACACAAAACAAAATGTGGTAGGTATCACAAAACAAAATGTGGTAGGTTACACAAAACAAAATTTGGTAGGTTACACAAAACAAAATGTGGTAGGTTACACAAAACAAAATGTGGTAGGTAACAAAAACAAAATGTGGTAGGTTACACAAAACAAAATGTGGTAGATTACACAAAACAAAATGTGGTAGGAAACAAAATGTTACACAAAACAAAATGGAAAAACAAAATGGAATTAACAAAACAAAATGGAAAACAAAATGGAAGGACACAAAACAAAATGTGAATGGACACAAAACAAAATGTGGTAGGAAACAAAACAAAATGGAATGGAATAACAAAAAAAATGGAAAACAAAATGGAAATGGACACAAAACAAAATGTGGTAGGACAAAATGTGAATGTAACACAAAACGTGGAACAGGTTACACAAAACAAAATGTGATATGTAACACAAAACAAAATGTGGTATGTAACACAAAACAAAATGTGATATGTAACACAAAACAAAATGTGATATGTTACACAAAACAAAATGTGGTAGGTTACACAAAACAAAATGTGGTATGTAACACAAAACAAAATGTGATATGTTACACAAAACAAAATGTGGTAGGTTACACAAAACAAAATGTGGTAGGTAACACAGAGCATAATGTGTTAGGTGACACAAAACAAAATGTGGCTGCTGTCTAACTTAATGTATTTAATCTGATTACGTACATATCTATCCACTGTAGGAGGAGGGGGTGTTATCTTTTTGAAGCATTTACAAATGATTCCATGTTTTAGCAGGTATCGCGCAAAACTTAAAGACCTATTGTCAACCACTCAACCACAATGCAACGCACGCTCAAATCATATTTGCAGCCATTTTCTTGATTGAATAAATAAACAAACATTGTATCAGTCGGAAATTCGGTGGATGTTGTAAGCATCTTTTGTGGATGTATAAAAATTTGTGTCGTTTTTGGATAAAAAAGTATTTTCAGAAGATTGCAGCAATTTTTTTATAAAAGTAATTGTTTAGGTGGGCAAATAATAATTCAAAACTATGGCAAGCTCAACGGTTGAAAACATGCCTAAAAGAGGAAGACCAAAACTTGGTATTCACTTGGTACCTAGAATCAGACACTTTTAACTGTTGTCGAAGCTGTACGAAGAGTCTAAGCGAAAGATCATCGTGTGATGGAATAAATTTCATATTTAGCACGAATACAAGCAAGCAATGAGCGCTCGCTGCATTGTGGTTGACAATGACTCTTTAAGGCCTGTCCAAGCACTATGATGTATTTAAGAAAATACTAAAACATTCCGAGCACCTGAAAAAGTAATGTGGTATTATTTAGCTAAGCCTTACCAATCGTATCTGCTCGACTGAATGACGTAGGCTTCCAGTCTTCTAAATCTTTGTACTGACACAGCCTCAATTCGACCAAATAAACTTCAACCTTACAATGCTTCACGAACATACCATGCTCGACAACCTGCCGAGCTATAGGAGTTTGACCTTCGCATATGCCATACCATGACGCAAGCTTCTCCCAAGCTTTTGTCGGAAGCAAAGCGTAATCAAGTTCGTCGATTAGATGTTTCTTTAACTTCTGGAAATTGTTGTCTGAAATTAATGACATCATGAAAAAGTTTAGTAACTTAATATTGACTTGCGTGTTGGCTTTAAGGCTACGTGCATTCGCTATACGTACATTGTAGACTCTATATGTTTAGAGCATTTGCAAACCCTATTGAGGGCTGTTGAGTGCTATTGAGAAATGTTGAGCGTTGTTGAAAAAAGTTGGAACTTGTTCAAACTTTTCATTAAACAGCGCTCAACATTTTCTTTGGTCCGTGGTCAGCAAAGCGTACCACAACATAGTTTACGTACTGCGTTGGAACAGCACAATAAATCATGTTGATCGAAAGCATGCGAAATGTCAGCGCATATTGGTGTAATTTAGGTCGTCACTACAACGTATATGTAGCTGTAGAGGTAGTTGCATTATATATCGGTTTAGTATGTATAGAGCCACGGGAATGTGTATGAATTTCAATTTACAATATACATAATGATATTCTCAATCAGTTTTGATCGTTTAAAAAATAATTTTGCAATGGCTGTCACCCAATGAGGAACGCAGAATTTTTCATATGAGAAAAAAACGCCGAACTTTTAATCATAATATGCAGAAATACACTTAATGAAGATGTATAATTGACCAAGACAGACTTGCGTGATGGAATGTTTTAAATAAGAATAGCGTATAGAGCTGATAACACACATCCCAGTCACAAAGTAAAAAACGCAATCCTCTCAATAAAAGGTGTACGTTAGACAATGAAGTCTTGCGCTGATACCTACATTTCCTATATATTGCAAACAATAGACGTTATTCAACTGTTCAACAAATGCACATCTTATATTATGTATGATAAAAGTGGTTGTTGCACTTTCTATGCATATTTTTTAACTGAATGTTGAACCATCATGACAATGTATCAGATATAAATGCTAAAATGCATGTATGACCTTAGAGGCGACGCAAGCCCAAATTTTTACTGTTGCCATTTTGCAAGTTTTATGTACGCAAAAATTGCAATTCATTTCTTTAGTAGTTTATGTCATTTCTTCAGCACTGCACGCAGATCGCTAATTGGGGGTATTCATATGCCTTGTCGAGTTCTTTTGAAATCGATTGTTTTTATCGATTATTACAAGCATATATGATAATATGAACACCCCCTCCCGCACCAATTATCGATTTGCGTACGCTACACTGCATTCACTGTTTCTCCAGCGAATGAGCACACAAATGTACTTGCAACTGTCAAAGTCTTAAATTTAGCACTAAATCCTGTGTATTGGGAGGTTTTTTGCAAGCAGACGCAAAAAATTGCACGTAGACTGCGCAGTCTACAGTCGTATGGAAAATTACGTGTGCTAATTCTTACAAAGCCAATTGTTCAACAGTTCAAAAATTCTGGTCGGTAAACATTAAAACATAAATGGGATGAATTTAAATTTTATAGTTATACTTTTCTTAGGAATACATAAGTTCTTCTGACGACAGTTTTCATCAGGGGCCACGCAGTTAGCATGGTAATATAGGATCGCAACATATGACATTCACAATTTTTGGTTACAGAACATCGGTGCAGATAAAGTTGGGGAACAATCATTGTTACAAAGTTAAAAAATAAACATAAATGGCTCAAGTAGCAGAACCAGGGTTAAGCCAACAAATTATAGACACTTAACTATAAATAAATTAACCCTAGCACAATGCCATTGCTAATGGAATTTCTAAACTTAATAAATTTCACCAATCAAAGAGCTGTTATAAATTATTATGCCTATAGCCTGGGTTTGCATTTAAATACCTGTAATAGAACAGTGAACTAGACTAAAACTGATGAAGAATCTCTTTTTGGTTGGTAAACATCTTACTAGCATTAGTATTAATTATTACTTATTCAATTCTAGTTCTCATATATGAGACAGTTGTTTCAGCTGATTATGTTAACCACTCAAAAGAAATATAATTACTCATATTTTTTTCTATTGACGTTGCCATTTTGGACAAATCGTAGGCACAGCCAGCACGCAAATTTGTTTATGCTATATAAATTTCTCATCATTGGCATCATTCATCTCTTTAAAAATTTATTATTTTTACAAGGAGTAAAAACCAAAAAAATGGACATGATACAAACAAATTTTCTGGCTTACTATGTCACTGGTAGAAATTTAGCAACACTTGTGTTAAACATGAAGTAAAGTCAAAGAAACATGGACTGTGGTTTCCCAAACACATTACTGACAATTGTAAGCCTTCATTCTATCAAGTTTATCAAAATAAACTTAATCTTAAAATGAATATGTGTATGATAATTTGGGAAACGTTACTCAATGATATTAAATAACCCAAACCTTGAAAAAGACCAGAATTGTCAATGGGTCCTGGATGCATTGACTCTAAGCCCATTCTCTCCGCTTCCCAGCTTTCATAACCAACGTATTTCTTCCATTGTTTCAACCACTTTGAATCAACTAAATACCTACACATTAACAATGAAATGTTCTTTGTCGCACATTTTGAAAAAATTTATGTTCAACATCATCTATGCAGATGTTGTTTATACTTTATTACAGTTGTTCTTGTTCTTCCACATTGATGTGCTTTAGTTGAGGTAGAATAAGTTCATTATACTTTAATAAATAAAACTTTTCTCTTTTTCTCTCAAATAATAACACGAGATCAAAATCAGCGGAACAACTGATTTTATATTTAATATAAAATTGGCATTGAAAAAATTTATGAGAGCTTTGATCAGATGAAAAATTATGCTGATGAAATAATCATGTATATGTCCGCCTTCCAAAGGCAAGCAGGTGTTTGACGATGGCATGAAAGCAAAAACAAAACAATTTCAGTTTAGATTTTATAGAAAATATATACCGGTAATATAATTCTGATGAAGAGACTGGTGATTAAATATAAAGAGAGCATACATTGCATCTAAACAGCAGTCAAGAAAAACTTTGTTTTGATATGGCCTAGATTTTTCATTGAAATAGCAATAAAACTGCTTTTGAAATTAATAACAATCAAAACTTTGCATTGATAACTTTCACAACCATACTTTTCATATTGATAACTTGCACATATGATTTGAATTCAAGGTGGTAAGTGTTATAGAGCAGACAGGCTTGACAACAAGATTCCTCCACAGTTGCTTCAATTTGGCATTTCTAATGTTTAACTATCAAATTGATTTTTTATGGAAAGTTGAAAACTGCATGTTTACAGAGCTGGAACACAAATCACAAATTTAATTTGTGTTACTAGAAATCCACTTTGGGTGCATACTCTCAGTGATAGTGCAAGTGTTGGTCAGCTTATAAACACAGATAATAGCTTGCTTGACTGATATCAATAATTGAATATGTTTTCAAGGAAAAACGAAACGATGCACTTAAGCCAATCAAATTGCCACTGTTTCTCTTTCGTTTAGTCTTACCAAGTTTCTCCTTTGTTCAAAGTTTTCATAAGCAGGTCCTTTATGCATTCCTTCTGTTCTTCCAGAATAGCTTGGCTGTCATTGTATGCGTCATTTTGTGGTTCCCCTTCGGCAGGCGAATTTCCTCCTATTCCAACAGCCATATTTCAATTTGAGCACTACGATAATCTTACTACCTTTACCACATTTCAAGCTCTTTTACTTCCCGTTGGTAATTTTATCCTAACATCGTGTTGCGCCCGCGTGAGCATGACTAAGCGAAACTTCATTTTAAGCAATGTTTTACTGGTTTTACTTTATATTTAACGTAAACAATTTAAGCAATTTCATTGGCCGAAACATATGATATATACGAGACTGTTGCACGGAATTGATGTCACAGAAAATTTCTTGTTTTTAAATTACAAACTATACGCCTATCCGTTCTTTCGGGCTACTCGAGAACAGTGTTTGGTTATATTTGCGTACTATAATAGTGGCCAAATAGCACAACGAAATTCACGACAATGCAATATATTATTTATATGTAAGTTAATTGTGTTTCATTCGCGTAAAATGATCAAAGAAACATTTTGATAGGTTCAAGATTGCAACAGGAAAATCTGAATTCAAAACTGGGGCTTACTTTCGGTAACAAACAGCGAATTATTTCAATATTTAGCTGATTTATCTCTGAATGGGTAAAGGAAGACATTGAAAAAGACCTTGTTGAAGCAGTTGACGTATTTGAGCAAAAAGAAATGAAAAAAAATTGTAATGTTTATTTGAATTCGTCTTCGATGACAAATTTCTTACGAAATCGACCTGCCTTCGCTTATTTATTCTGTCAGCCAATGACATTTTAGCGCGTGACTTAAGATGGCCATAAGTATTTCTTGATAGATGATGTACGCGTGACATTTTATGAATCTTGACTTTTCAATTTTCCAATTATAGGATAATAAAACCAACTTGTTTTCCAAAATATGGGAACTTCTTCGATTTTATGAAATAAAACAACGAGCTCCGGTGGCTCGTAGCCACTTTTTCGTTCCCATCACAAATGACGTCATACCCGTGTATCTATAACTGAACAGATGATGATTAAACGTAATGTATTTGTTAAGAAGATTTTTTAATTTACCAATAAGGTTATTAGTATAGCTCTTAAATGCGATATTTGATGAATTAAAGCAGAAATTTTAATACTTAAGTGTAGTATAAATGCTTTAACTGATATATTCAAGTTTGCTGCAGTTCCTGCAAATTGAAACAAAAAATCATCCAACTAGATAAATATTTACAATGACAAGAAGTGCCATCGTTTTTTGATCTGTTATTGTTTTAATAATTTATTTTTATTGGCAATACTATATCAAATATAGTATATACTTTATTTGGACAAAACATATGTAGTTTGAGATGTCCAATCGCAAAAAAATAAATATGTTATTTATGGTAACATACGTCTAATAATCTGATAAGGCATTTATTTTGTAACCTTGATAACACGAATCTTACAATTTTCCTGATTTTCATCTTATTGCATTGAAAGTTTTCTCAAGAATATTTCGCCATTGATTAATTCAATCTATCAAAGGTTTCTATGTCCATTCAATTTTCTTTACGATTTAATACATTGCAGATATAACCTGCAAGTTGTCATTTTTTTAATTTGCCTCGAATTATCTAATAAACGTCAGAATCATTGCAGCTTCCATCAGTTTTCAATTTGCACGTACATAAACTCTTTATAATTACAATTTAATATGTTTCTTCAGTAGAAACGTAGACAAAATTGATTGTCTTTATCAAGGTTACTTGATAGCTATATAATTTATTTGTAAAAACTTCTTTTTCAAACTATTTTACATATTCTCTTGATGATTGCGGTAGGTGACAGTTGTAATTTTTAAAACTGCAATTTAAAGAAATATATGTTAATTACCAGCTGGGAGTTCCGTAGGGAAAATATTTTTTCCTTACTGACCGACCTAAACGGTAAAACCATATTATTTTTTTTCTATTTTTATAATGAAGAAATTTGCGTTGTAAAATAGCCCGATGGCCAGATGCAACTTGTTGATGAGACTAAAATTAGATTGTTTTCTGCAAGCTTCGCTTCGTCTGGATAGTAAAATGCACTCTTGCTATGATAAATTTCATCTGAATACACTTTGCCTACTCTTTCAACATTGATTTCACTTCGCAAACAAAAATATTTCGAAAAAATATCACTTTTGGCCCTATAGGTAAATATCGTAATAAGCCGCCCAGTCAGACAGCCAATCAAATTCCTGCAAAGCAGAAAATAGCGCTTTGGAGCTTTGGAGCGATAAATAAAAAAGAATAATGTATATTTTGGGATGGGACTTAATTAATTACTGTAGAGTATTGACCGCCTTCTGCAGATATATATATACAGAGAGAGAGAGAGAGAGAGAGAGATAAAGAGTTGCCTGAAGATCCCCTACGGTGTGAAATTCCAAGTTGCAACAGCAGAAACTTTGTCTGTTTTATTTTATATGTATTAAAATTAGAGACTTGTTGAAATTTTTTTTAATTCTCACTTTATTTTGATTAAAACGTCTGGTTTGCTAAGACAAATGAGGCAGAAATGCATAATAAGGCTTGAAAATGATGCTCGAACCAAATGATCCCACTTATGCTCATTATTCTTCGAATTAAAATAAATCACATTTGCATGCTCAAACTGTATAAATTGCCTTTTTCTAATTTCTCATCGCAAACTGAAAGTGTGAGAAGCAAAGACAAGATACTTAGGAAAGCAAGAAAAGTATTTCTTACACTTGATCTTTAAAATGTTTACCAAAATATTGTGTTTCTTGCTTGTATTAATAACTATTTCATACTGCGTTGATGCTTATACAGCTGGCGCTGGAAATATTGGGCGAGAAAGACGAAAATTGGAGAAGAAGGTATTGCTGTTTTAGCATCAACTTATAATGACTCTAACATCACAACAGATTATTTTGTTTAGCTTAAGAAATATAAATAAAGATTGAAAAAACTTCTACTCCTAAATATTAGTTTTAATCGACTTATTGGACAGATGTTTTGCAGCTGTTTTTGCAATAACTATAAAACTAATGCTGCTTTTTGTAAAAGTGATCCACCCAATTAGCATCAAAAATATAGCGCATACGCAGCAGTAACCAATAATGACTTTATCTTTTCGTTTTTTGCACTTCCTTCATTTTGGTGGTAAATTTTTCCAAAATTGACTTTTTTATTGAGGTGCAAAAATTTGCATGGTTTCTAAAGATCTTTTCAGGAGATTTTTTTGCACTATAGCTACTTCAGTTAAAGATTCCTGAAAACCACAAACAAATTTATGTGAGCTTAATACAGAGTCGTCAAATTTTTTCAAAGTTTATGCTGCATATTATTGTTATGGCAAGGAGGCCTTTTTTGTTTAGTATATTTTTAAAGAAAGACAAACTGCTTTTTGTAAAGAACCCCGCGCTATTTCTTTCTGTCTGTGGAAAATCAAATGTATAATTATTACAGCTCAAAATTTAATTAAAAAGACTTTTAAAGAAATTAATTCTATTGGTTATAAATTTCAAATGGGGAATATCTCCTAAGTCGAACTATTTTCAACTTGACAAGCTGAAAACACATCCGTTAATGAGCATTCTGTATCATGAGTATTCTGTCTATTGATTGAAAGTGCTTTGCGAAAAAGTTAACATGTAAAACTCTTCTTCATTCCAAACTGCTACTTTATCACTGAAATAATCTTAACTGTTTTGTTGACGCTTATGTTTCTCAAAGAGAAACTATCAAGCTATATATGAGCGATAAAATTGTTAGGATATCAAAAAATACTTCAATTCTTAATGCAAACAATAAGTCGGATGACAAATAATTCAAATCATGTGAGAGCTCTTTGTTGGTTTTAGGGATCATACCCAGAAAGTATTGTGAACAATTCAATACTTCTGTTTAGATAATGAATAAATTAAGAAGATCACAATCTGTATTGGATGTAATAGATTATTTTCCTAATATAGAAAAATTTCATAAGCATGTAATTATAAATGTTTATTTTATTATCATAATGTATAATTTATATTATGCTCTATTGCTATATTTACTCTTTTGTTGATATAATTATAGTATTGTTATATTTAAGCAATATCATTTTCATACATATATAAATAATGAAGAGATGAAAGGTAAAAAGAAACAAGTTCTGTTACTTCATCAAACATCAAAACTGGTACTTGGTAGATCATTGAATCATATTTGCGAAAATGTATTGGGAATGAATATTTTGTTTGCTTCGGAATGAAATTTTCGATTGAGTATCCAAAAAAGTTTATAGACATTCGTTTTGTACAATTGATTTTCATTCAAAGAAATACATAATGGGATACATAGTAGTAGTAGTAGTTTCGTATGGTCGTCACTCCTCTAAGCCAGCTTGTGTCTCATCAAGCCAGCAGAGGTTGGAGGTGTGGTTCCGAGAGTTCGACATCGAAGTTCGAAGACCGGGTTTGGATCATTCTTAGTTTTCCTTCAGTGAAGTACTGAAGCCCCTGCACGACTACAACGTGATGAACCAGGCGCAAGGGGGGGGATACATAGTTATTTTCACTTATGAAAAATGTCGATTAGTACAGTTGAACGTAAGTTTCTCTTTAAATATCAATAACGCGTCTAAGTTTCGACATCACAAATATCATATAATGATTGTATTTTTCGCTTCAATGATCAACAAATGCTGTATTGACATTCAAAATTAAAACGATGATCTATCCTCGGACTAATTAAATACCACTCCCATTTGCAGGTTAAATTAAATGCTACGCCCTTTTCTTGTACAAGTTAAGTCCTTACACGCCATCTTGATACCCATGTTACGCCCCAGATAAGTTGGGGATGAAATTATAAACTGACTGTTTCTTTTCTACAGTTTACGTCATTCATAGTTATGTATCGAAAAAATTGAAAAAATTATCGAACACTTCAACCCTTATGGGCGAACTGTTCTAAAGTTGTTTGCCATATCATATTATCGTTTAGTGATTGTTGCAGATCTGCCTCACTGCAACTAAAAGGGGTTGTTAATCGAATCAGCTTGCATTTATCAAATAATTTTTCATGTATGTTGTCGCGCATGTGTTGCGGTGCACGAGTTTTACAAAAATTTTTGTGTCAAGTACGACATGGGGCTACATTAAATTAACATCAAAATCGATAAAATGTTTAATCCAGATCACTTATTCCATATTTTATCGTGTTTTTGTGCAGGATCTCAACATTTATAAGGAAGTTTGCTCGTGGGCGAATAAGTACTGTCCATCTGTGTCAAATGTATTCGACAAAGAGGGATCTGAAAAAAGTGAAAAGCAACCAACACTCCAAGAAATTGGCTATGAATGAAGTTCTTTGTAATTTAAACGTTTTTAATTATAACTTCTCTCAAAAAGCAAAATCGCCAAAAAACAATTCTAAATTCTAAATTAATTCTAATGTCTACAAATGATAGCAATATGTGTAAAAGTTTAAAATAAAAGCCAAGAATTAGAATGACTAAAAATACGTTTTTCGTGCACACAAACGTGCATTATATTATTTAATAACTTGAAGTAATAATGTGCTACCATGCCTGACTTGGTAGCCAGATAATGTCTTTCTATTCGGACTAACCAACGGCATGCATTAGATTTTGAAATAGAAAATTACGTACATCGAGTTTAGTTCTTAGACATATGCTTGTCAACATTCATATGGAAATTCTCAATTTTATGTTTCTAATACTAAACATTATAAATATTACAATGGCGTAACATCACCAATAGCGTATAGTACTACATTTCAGGACCACTAATGAAAGTTTTTAAAAGGCCCTCTGATTTTGCTGCAAACAGTTGAATTTGATTTTTCTAAATGGAAAAGACTGCGAATGTCTCTTTTGCTACAGTATTTTCTAGATAAGGAGCCTCCTCAGGTCAGGGGCCCCTGGGTTTTTGCACTCTAAACAAGTAGTTACGTGACTTACGTCCATGATCAACACAGCTAGGGGGGCAACACGCTTTGTGGACTATAACAGTTGAACAGTAATCTTCTTGCTCAATCATGGTTTCATGTATTTGTTTTGAAAAATAGATGTATATATCTAGAGTATATAATATGTTTCACATGGCATGTAAAAAACTTACAACGATTTTTGTACGCTAAAAATTTCTATAAGCGTCACAATTCCTAAAACATTGGGGATATGGGTCGTGGAGGTAGGTGGTTATAGCAGTTTGGTTTAGGGTGAAGAGAAAAAGGTTAAATTCCTTGGAACTTTGCTAGTCTCACTATAAAGTCTGATAATAAATTCAGAGATGTCTGCAAAGTATTATAGAGTAAAGTCTCAGAACGGGCGGGTAATGAACAGAAATAAAGTCTACTACAAGAGTAAGATTAGTAATCCAAAATACCTTGAACAAAAATATATAAATTTATAATTTATAGCATGTATACCATGTATAAGTGCATATGGATTGCATGTACTAATTATATGGCATATATAGTTATTGTAGTTTCATATGCTGCTCGTCATCGCCAAGAATAGCTCGATGCTTTCGTAAGAAAAGTCGTTGGCGTCAGAATTATCTCTGCCTTTTACTTCCGACTTAACAGGCCCTATGGAAGAGGGCAGTGGTGCAGCAAGAGTGATAATTGGGGGGGGGGAATATTCACATATGCAGGGCATGCTACAGTTCATTTGAAATATACTGTTTTTAAATGAATATTTGCCCCCACACACAATATCGTGCTGGCTAATCTACTGGCAGTATGCATAACTCTCCCGAAATGAAATTGCTTCCGATCGCCTTGCTTATTTCCGACAACCTGAAAGAAAATTATTTTCCAATTTTCTGTCGAGAAACGTTATTTTAGTGTTGTAAAAGGTCATGTGACCCCTATTATGAGGAGTTCGTGCTTGGGTGTGAAGTGAGAAAAGTGCAATTTAGTGAGTTGAAATAAAGCAGTTAAACTTAAACTTTGTGAGTGAATTTAAATATAGAACGAGGATCCGAATACTCTGTATTTTACGTTCCCAACATTTCATCGATATATATTATTAGACGATATGAAAAATTTTGGAATGTACATTAGTCAAATACAAATACTTGAATAAGAAATTTGCATAAATTATACAAATCGACGTGACGTCCACAAAATGTAGCAATTATTCAAAAATGCCAGTCGAAAATGCAATAAAGTTGTTATTAGCGGTATGGAAGATTTGCAATTCGGTAGAGAGAAAAATCGAGAGTACTCTACCATTGTATCTTTAGAGCCTTTCGCTCATCAAGTTGGCGGACATTCGACTCTACAACTGTTGGATAAGTTCACTGTTTGTAAGCCATTGTTTACCAAAGAACTTCGATTTTATCAAGATGCAAATCCTCTATTTAAACCTTTCCTACCGGAATTTAAAGGTATGATTGTGACAAATATTTTCGAATAATATGAAAGATGCAAAGTGACGTTTTTATTGCAAAATAGTTGCATGCGATCGATGTGATCAAGTCTCGATCTTCATGATTACGACCCGTCGTGGCTGCGTAAACAGTTAATAGTTGTTTATATCTATTTTTATTATTATTTGAACAGTTTTAATTTCAAGTTTTCTTCTAATTCAATTTGCATGTTTTTATAAAGACGACTTTGAATAACATTTTGCTCGGTAACGACCCTTATATTTGGAATATATTTTATACGCGTCTTATTCTCGCGAGTTGTGTATTTGTGACATTATAACATGATGACATTATGATCTATTATGATGGCTGTCGACAGTCGCCCTTGCAAAAATGTAGTTGTCTTATTATGGACGAGTTGGAAGTTTGTAACTAGCTAAATAAATAAGATGCTCTATAGCTACGCTTTACGACATTTGAAACAAGTAAGATGATGAAATCTGTCTCATAAATTACTTAGATCCTGTGATAGGCAACATGCCTTGAATTAACTTAGGCAGCACGAAATCCATGTGCCATTGCAGAGAGTCTATACTTTAAATTGTGTGAAAGCTTGTGTGAAAGATTGGGTTTATACATTTATAACAGTACTTGGATTGAATTGCTCCATTGAATTTTAGATCTGTGTTTGATTAAACCCCAATGACAATAAGTGTTCCCTTATTGCTTGGAATATTAATATTTTGTAGGGAAATTGACACCCTTCTTGCACTCTCTCTATCCAAGGCTAGGAGGGATGTGTGTGACTTTGTGTCCCTCTCCTAAATCTATTCCCGGCTACGATGGATCCATATGACTCATTAGCTAAATCTGCACCAGACTAGTAATTTCAAAATGACATCCTATTTTGAAGAAACTTTACCTTGGCTTTACAGGATGCACTCACTGTGAAACCAATATAAATTCATACGTTCATGCACATTGAAATTTCTTGCTTGGAGCAGTTAAGAAAACATTGTATATGGTGATCTAAAATAGCCTTTGTAGATCAAGAAAATAAAAGAATTTAATTTTTGAAACAAGGATTACATTTGTTGTACATTCTGCCCCGGTGCTCCCCCGTTATATATTCTGCCCCTTTCCCATCATACATTCTGCTCTGGTGCTGCGCCCTTTGTACATTCTGCTCAGGTGCTCTAGCTATTGCACATTCTACTCAGTTGCTCCTAGTGCTATATTTTTTGCTCTGGCTCTTCCCTTTTATTTATACATTGTTCTTATAGAAATAGCATGAAAAGTTATATGGAATATTTGTAGAAATAGCATTAAACACGCTTTGCAAGCATTAACATGCCTTTAAAGGACAAATATTTTATGAATTTAGGTGTCGCCAGAGTGCGAAATGTCTATGGCAAAGACAGTGGCGAGGGCCTATGGGAAATGGTAAATTCTAATGAAGACGTAAATCGTCATTGTTATCGCTACGGAAAGCACTGTACCTCATGCACTTGTATTGGCAATAGTGAACGAACAGGAAAACGCATCTCCAATAAAGGCGTTGACAACAGAATTTCCGAAAATTTTTATCGGTAAGTAATGCATATATTTTTAGTGAAACAGTTAAAATGTTGGACTCCAGAGTGTCGTGGACCTTTCTACATCCAGTGTCGCGGCAACTTATACGGTTTTTTCTTAATGTCAAGACGTTTTGCTATTTATCCTCCTAAGTTTAATATAGCCTCTTTATAATGCCAAAATAATGCTTAGTCAAAATAACGGTGGGAAGAGACTTCTTCTTTAGCATTGCACTAGGGTTGATTAATTTCATTTTAACAATGCAAAAGTCTGAAAATTTTGATCGTTTTTAGCTACAGGCCTTTATTGATACGTAGACAAATATTGCTTGCTTGCGTTTTAAAAGCAAGAGTGGAATCCATACGCTCATATACACTATAATATGGTGTGAAAAATGCACCTTAAAAAATTGTGTGTACCATATTTTTCAGTGCTGCTGTCAGTAAAGACAAAGATAAGAATGAGGATGACTCGTCATTAGGTATTATTTGAGAGTGACTATTCATTAGATGTAATTAATGGCCAGTTCACACGATCCGATTTGGCGGATCCGATTGTCTCGGACCCTCGGTTTCGACTTTTGGTTGCTCGTTCAGCAGACGCTCCGGAATTTTTGTTGATATTTATTATTGTTTGGATATTTATAGTCGTTTGAACAGCCATTTGTGTTATCCAGTACATTTATTGACATATTTCTTGTATTTTTTTCGTATTTCAAAGTCGTTTTCAAATCAATGTAATTTGGCTAGTCGGCCTCATTCGATTTTGTCGGCCTCATTTGATCTTGTCGGATGAAATTATTTTGTTCTATGTCTATCCGAATTTTTAGATTGACGGATGCGACTGTCGGAGGCTCACTGTATTTGTGTTCACACGATCCGGTTTTTAGAATCCGACAAAATCGGATCGTGTGAACGGGCCTTTAGAGTGATTGGTTTCTTATTACTACATGTAGATCATGCAGGTTTATAGAATCCTGAGAAGGACTTGACTGACGTTTCGACAATCTTAGCGGAAGTGAGGAGTAAAAGTCAAGTTCGCCGTGTTTGTGGTCTGGTTCATACTTCATCGTATTGAAACGCAACACTTACAAACACAATGAACCGAACGAAACAAACAACTCAACGACAACAGCAATGATACCTTACATCAAAAGTACGTCTAGAGACAATCCCACGTATTTTACGACCATACAACATACGTGTCGCACATAGACCCATTACAACGTTACGACAAATTCTGACGAACATCCAGGTCAAAGAAAAACCAAACGAACGACAAGGTGCAGTTTACAACTGTTACACTTCCTATATCGGGGAGACTGCCTGGAAATCAAACCTAAGACATACTGAAGACAAACGAGCTACAAAGACAATGACATTGCCGAACATCAACGACTGACAAAGCACAACATGGACTGGGGCTCGGCAAAATGCATTACTTGCAGGCAACGGATTACGTTGGAAAGTTGCTACTTACGGATTACGCTGCTACGGAAAGTTGCTTACGGAAAGTTGCTACAACGGATTACGTTGGAAAGTTGCTACACCTACTTAGAACAAAACCCACTGAACACATCACAACAATAGACCTTTTCAAGGTTATCGCAGTCATATTGCAGGGGGTGGAAAAACATTGGGCCGAGCGCGCGGTCACGCATGGCGTCCATATAAATTACTAATAAATGCGCAAAAATTACCGTTATACATATTGGCCATTTCTTTCAAAAATATTTCTCAAACTCGTCCATTTTAATAGTCGAATTATTATTTGCGATTTTTTATACACGTGAGTCCAATTTTGTGGTAATCGACAAACAGAAAGTTAAAGAAAACATTTGTTTTCTTTCAACAACTTGACCGTCGTTTGAGCGATGTTCTTGAGTTCACAAATGTGCGGAACTCATAAGCTAAGTCAAACGAACTAAACCCTAAACTAGCCGAGTAGCTGTGAGCAGTCATAGCCGAAATGGTAAAAAATGCCTGTTGTGCAGTTGGATATTCCAATAATGATAAACGCTATCCTGATTATCAAGTTAAGAGGTCTCACGTAGAAAAGTTAGTTTTTCATTAGTGGCCCAAAGATCAAGCACTTGCTGAAATTTTGCGAAAACAAAATTTTTGAGCATTTATTTGTAATTTATATGGACGCCATGCGTGACCGCGCGCTCGGCCAATGTTTTTGTACCCCCTGCAATATGGCTGCGATAACCTTGAAAAGGTCTATTACCGGCACCTTACAAACGACTTTTTACAACCTCAAACGTGCGAGACATAATTGACACGCACACATTTCCTCTTCAAACATTTATATATTAACCAGAAGAATTTGAGCAATTTCATTGGTCGAGAGTTCTGATATATAAGAGGACAGACGCACGGAATTGACGTCACAGAAAATTTCTTGTTTTTAAATGATAAACGAACGGCGAATTTATTTGAATATTTACTTGAATTTATCTCTGAAAGGGGCAAATAAAGAAATTAAGAATGCCCAGTTGAAGCAGTAGACGTATTTAGGCAAAAAGAAAAAAACCTGGCTTCATGGTACTTTTCGTTGTTCAATCATTACCATTATCAACATATGTAATAGAAATAAAGAACCCGAATCAGCAATTCCTTGAAATAAGAGTGCTAACCAGCTATAATTATGGAATTTTGCTCGGATACAAAATCTTAACTCTTTCTCTGGTTGTTTATACAAGAATATCTTCTTCTGGAAAATGTCGTCGGTCGTTACAAATATCCTTGTATTCTTGATCTAAAAATGGGGACTGAGAAACATAGGGATTACGTCATCAGTCAAGAGGAGCAAAGTCTTCGCCAAGCAAGATGGGATAAAACGACATCAAAAAGTCTTGGTGTACGATTGTGTGGTATGAAAGTAAGTTTCGTCGATTCTTTAATAATTAAAGATCTCTAATAAATTTCTGTTTTTGTCCGGTACATTTAAAACCGTATAGCTAGAACGCTAATTGGGGGGATGTATATTCATATATTGTGCCCATCTGATTTTTCAAGAAAGCCAAATCCCTTTCAACAGAAGTTAGTCGAGTACAACTGAATATATGAATGCACCCACTGAGTACACTCGATCTTTACAACACATGCCTATTTACCATGATGAAAACTTATCGTATAAAGTGACTTTTCAATTGGCGGGCGGTTTTCCACACTGACCTGTATAGTAATTACCTGGACGGGAAATCATCATCCAAATTATAATATTTTATTAACGCGCGGCCGGTTATCAAAAACATGGCTGATTTTGGATGAAAGTGTCAGCGGAAGAGCGCAGGCTTTAAAAACTAAAACTTTTTCGCCCACCCGGATTTTCATTCAAAATTCATCTATATAATATATCTATATATGATGACAGAAAATTTCAAAGCTTTTTTTCGTAACAAAAAACTTTTAAAATTTCATCCTGCAATGTGCTGCAAACTCGTGTAGTATACGAATGCCGAAGTATTACAAGAAAAGAAAATATTTCATGACACGGGTAAGCAAGATATTATTGTTTGTCATTCAAAGGGTCGGGTTAAATTGTTGTTTGTCGATACTTGTCGTGTGTTGGCATTTGGCATGTGTTTTGTTAATGTTTTTTACTACATAATTGTATTTTAAAAAGTATTTTCCCAAAAATTTTTAAGCAACCAATTCTTTTCGAGCTATACATGTCTTGCAATCAAGAGAACTCGCCTTTAATTAATTAGGATTTGTTTATAATATTTTTCTGAAAATATGATGGATTATTTAAGAATAGATTTGTGTTAAAATTGAACAATATTTGTGTTAAAAACACTGTGATAAATGAAGTATGTTGTGTGGTGTAGGCAGCTTACAATTATTTACTGTAAAAAATATATTTCTAAAGAAATGAATAATGCTAATGGTGAAAAATTTACAAAGTATAAACAAATATTCAGGCTCGTTATGCCACTGTTCTAAGTAGGTTAATACACCAAAACCAAGATAAGAAGTGCTCTGAGCCAAGATTTGTTTCCATTACAAATTTTTATTCTAGTTAAGATTATGATTTTGTGAAATCGATAACTGAAATCAATTTGAAATTATAATCAGTTTTAAAGTGCAAAGAGTTCAGATGGACTTGGGGAAAACAAGTAGTTCCTCCCAAGATTATTAGTCTCTTTGTACAAATTCTTATTTTGCCCAAACTTGAATCTTCAAACATTATTTAATACCAATTACTTTTTCTTTTAATACACAACAATGTTTATAAATCTTGGTAAACATCTTGACACTTATAAATGTTTTATTCTATTGCAGCAATACACAGTGTTATGACAGAGAAGCAAAAACTCTTTGATTTCAAAAGTTGTATTTTCAATAAAGAACAATTTCGATTCGTGTAGTTCTACTCTGCAGCTTTTCAAGGATTGTACTGAATAGTTGACTATCCTATTGTAATATCTTGGTCAAAAAGTTTCCAACTGAAAACAGTATTATATCATGATTTAAGTTGAATTCTGTTCTTTTTGTAGCTCACCAAGTTCAAGATATTTTCTTTTTATGTACTCTGTAGAACTGCCAGAATTTCTAAATGGACATTAGCCAGTATGATGCGCTTTACGAATACATATACAGACAGTGAAGTTTGTATATGAACTTTAAGATATTTTTATATTTACGGTCCCACTAAGGAAATCCGTCTACTGTTATTTTTAATCTAAATTGTTATTTGACTATAGTTGAGGTTTCTTTACCATAGATTTTCTTCGTATAATTGCGCGTGTGTTCTATAAAACGCTAAAGCATATCTTTGCATCGAAAGGGTTAAATAGTTCTTGAGTTTTTAACTCTGGTAGAATTTGATAAGTTTGTTAGAAATCAGGAGGGAGTTAATGGCTAAAAAAATTTTCAAAATGGAAGATTTTCATCTAAAATTTCCTATTTGCCGCCATGTTTTTAGTAACCGGTTCCAGGCCCCTTTTCCCTTCCAAGTAATTTAATAGAACTTAATGGTATTCCACTTGTGTTTTTTTTCTTGCGAAGCAAGAATTTTCGGAGTGAAATTTCGTGCGAATGGGTATTATATATCAAACACAGAAGTTTCGATATAACAATGCTTTATTCCTCATAACTCGCAATACACAGCTGATGAAGACTAAGTTCTAAAATACAACGTCATAGTCTAATCACCTAACAACTTTACATCAGTTCTTCATCAGCTCGCCGCACACGGTTGTGTTTTTTTCTGATTACCAGCTTTTGTTGAGTTTTATTTGAAAAAATTTCCCCTTCATCTAACGGCTTTACTCAACATCAATCCACATCGGCCATTTTACAATATGAATTTCTGCACAATAAAAATCAAAAAATAAATATAACCTTATTCACACGACATAAACTAACAAGGGATTAACTTTAACCGAGGTTAAACTCAACCTACCTCTTGAGATGATATTTGCAAGCTGTTCGCGAGGACGAATATTTGAAAAAAGTTCCCTTTCATCTAACGACTTTACTCTACAGAAAACTGACTATTTTGACAAAGGAATTTCTCAGACGATATACGAAAAAATTGATGTATGGTCGTAAAGTGTAAGCTCTCTCACGAGCAGAGGAAATTTTCTTTTCATTGCCGGCTCCACATTTACAAACTTAGTCTTTCTAGTCGTTGCGGCAAAGATACTCAAAAACTGTTATTTCAGGCATTTTGAGATATATTATTCAAAGTGCAAAAGAAATTGGAAATTTTGCAAGGGCGCGCAGCGCCCGCAGTAAAGTTGAGATTATATGAAAACACAAATGTGAGATATAACAATGGTTTATTCCTCATAACTCGCAATACACAGCAGATGAACACTAAGTTCAAAAATACAACGTCATAGTCTAATCACCTAGCAACTTTACATCAGTTCTTCATCAACTCGCCGTACACGGTTGTGTTTTTTCTGATGGCCGGCTTTTTTAAGTTTTTTCTATTGATTTAACGACTTCGGAACCAGGTTATACTAAAAAGGGGGAAACGCAAGCCCTTAATCTAGCGCCGCAAATAGTTTGCGAGGAAATACTCCGGTGAAAAAGCGACCGAGGAAAAAACTAGCTGCAGCTCAGCAAACAAAATAGAGAAAGTCTGTTGAGCTATCTAATAAGCAAGCTAAAAGGCGAGAGCTCTGCTTCTCAAAATCTTGAAGATTTTCTTCGAGAAGTTTTTCAGTCGGGCAAGTGAGTAAGACCTCCATAGCTCGTCGCTCCTCGAATGCCCTGAGGCATCTAAAAATCCAGGTAAGGTTTCCGTGTGGATGGTCAATTTAGCAGCTAGGACTGTTAGTTTAACGAAATATTCGCAGAGAGAAAATAAGTAAAAGTTTGTTAAACTAACAGGTTATGGGCCCAGACATTGCTAACGCTAGGCACCAGTAAGTAAAATTCAATCGTGTGCGATTTATTGTGTTGTAATGGCTCAGGAAGACAAACTGTCAATTGATAAACTCGAAGGCGCAAAAAACTGGCAAATATGGAAATACCAAATGAAAGCCATATTGGAAGCTAAGGAATTATTTGGCCATGTCGATGGATCTCTGACACGTCCTGACACATCAGAGGGTAGCTCTGGGAGGCAAGCAGCCTTTGACAAAGCATAGAAAAAGACGAAAGCTCTGTTAGTTACATCGATCAACTCCGATCTTATATACCTGATAACTGGGTGTGAAACTCCTAAAGAAATATGGGACACACTGAGAGGACGATTTGAGCGTGATACTATGGCGAACAAGCTATTTCTAAAACAACGATTTTTCTCTTTAAAGATGAAAGAGTCTGATAAATTGGATGAGCACTTCCGTCGAATGAAAGTAATTACTGATCAGTTGGCAGCTATTCAAGCCCCCATCCCCGAGGATGAACGTATGGTCGCTTTGCTGCTTAGTCTACCACGCTCATATAATACCGTCGTGACTGCTTTGACTGGAAGAGGAGATGATCTAAATTTGACTCAATTGCATCAAGCATTGATCAATGAGGAAGAGAAACGTAAACAAAACAACAGTAAATTGACTGGTGAAGAATTTGATGAAGGCGAGTCTGCACTACAGCACAACAAGGCTCCTCGAAAGCATATCAAATGCTATGGATGCGGAGAAGAGAACCATATCCTTCGAAACTGCCCACGTAACAAGAGACGTCAGAATCGAAGAAATCAAGATTGTAAAACTAATGGCATGTCTTCAAGACATAATGCAGCGGCTGTGCAGGATAATTGTGGAAGAGATACTGATTCTGGTGAAAATCTATTTGCCGTTGGTCTGAACACAGTAAAAGGTGCTGACAACTGGATCATCGACTCAGGAGCCTCGCAACATATGACATCAAACCGTCAACTGCTACAGAACTATAAAGAATTCCCAGTGCCAGAACCCGTCGTTCTTGGAGATGGTCGATCTGTTGATGCTTGTGGAAGTGGAGAAATACAAATCATGATGATCCTTGGACCAAAAGAAAAGTATCGACGAAAGTCAACAATGGCAAAAGTCCTATATGTCCCCAAACTAACTGCTAATCTCTTTAGTGCCCGAGCTGTCACTGCAAAAGGAAATGTAGTACAATTTGGACACACACTTTGCTGGATAAAGAATGCTAAAGGAAAACTTATTGCTAAAGGTCGTCTTGCTGGTAATATGTATTGCCTAGACTGCAAATTTGAGGAAGGAAGAAAGCAAGCATCGGTGGCGGAAACATCAAATTAAAAAATAAATCTATGGCATCAAAGAATGGGTCACATGAATTTACCTCAGATGAAGACAATGGTTTCAAAAGCTATTGTGACAGGTATTGACATTTCTGGGACAAACAAGCTAGACTTTTGTGAAGCCTGTGTAAAGGGAAAGTTACATCGAGCACCCTTCAAAGCAGTGGGAG